ATTTATTTATAAATTTAATTTTTTTAAAAAGTCCGTTTTTTTTTTTTTAAAATTTTAATTTAGGTCCCGGATACCTAAAAATAAATAAAATAAAAAAAATATGATAAGCTAGGTTGTTTGTTTTAATTTTTACCCGTTTTATTTTTTTTTTTAATATCGTAATTTTATTTTATTAAAATAATTTTTATGTATACGTGATATTAATAATGAAAAAAAATATTAATTAATAATATTTTGTTTCCCTTATGTATATTTTTTTCGTATCGGGCTTTATCCCGCCTACGCCCTCCTTTAAAAATTTAATTTAAAAAAAAAAAAAAAAAAAAAAAAAAAAAAGTTTAGTAGAAATATATTAGTCAACGTTAACGAGACGTTATCTGGAGGGAAAAAAAAATGGGGGAATTCCTGTGTTGATCTGTCAATTTTTTCAATTAAAATTTTTTTTTTTTTTTGTTCTTGTCTCAACTCAAAATGGCATAAAATTAATTGTCGTAAATCATGAGGATAACAATTATTATAAATTATTGTAAATTGATCACCATTTCATCGATTAGAATGATTAATTTATTTATATATAAATAAATTTTTTTTTTAATATACAATCATAAATTTAATTCTTCTTTTCATAAACAAGAAGAAGAAGAAGAAGATTTGAAACGTTTAAATAATTTCTTAGGTTAATGAAAAAATAATAATAATAAACTGAAACAAAATAAATGAAATGTTTTTAAACATGATTTTGTTTCCAAATAGGTACTTTTATTAAAATAATTTAAAACAAACGAAAAGTTTTGGTTGTTATCGTCGTCATAACAAACACTAAAGTTCTTAATATAGTTAGTCTAATTAATGATTATCATTAATGAAAGGATTTTACTTATTTATTTATTTTTTTATTGTTAAAGCGGAAAAAAAAAATTTAAACCGACATTTTTGTTTGAAATAAAAAATTTTTCCACTGGAAAATATTGTAAATAACAAAGCGATAAATAAAATTTAATTTATTGATGCAAACACAGTCTCCAGATAATTATAGGGTTTGGCAATCAGGTCTCATATAATAACTAAACCGCACCCATTTTCGGACAACTTCTTGCCATTTTTTTTTTTACTTTTTTTATTGAAGCGAAAATTTTTTTTTTTTTATTTAAACAAAAAAGGATCTGGTGTTTAATAATAATAATAATAACGTATAAAACCTTTAAACTCTTTCTCTTTAAATTACAAATAATATAATTACTTTAATAAAGTGTTAGGGTTAATTATTTTTACACTTGTTATGATAACGTGGTATTTATATATAATAATAATAATAATAAATGTTTGTTTTAATTAAATTCGCGATAGAGAATTCGAAAAAAAAAAGAAAAGAAAATTCTATTTTAAAATTTTATCTCATTATATGTGTTGTCACGTGTAAATAAATAAATAAGATTTTTTTTTTTAGTTTACGTCATTTTTATTTTTTATTTATTTAAAATTTTCGATCGAAAAAATTTTTATTTTATTTTTTTCAAAATATTTTGAATCAACAATAAATTAGAGTCTCAATAAAAAAAATAAATAAATAAATAAAAGAAAATATTAATTTTGACCTTTTTGTAAAAACGAAAAAACCGAGAAGGGCATCCAGTTAGTTTTTAAGGTAAAATGTTCGAGGTAAATACTCAAAAAATTTTTAATTTTCTGTCTGGTTTTAGCCAAAATTTCACCTTGCCAACATTTTCGTTCCATTCACTTGTTTCTAATGCACGGTGAAAAAAAAAAACATACGCCTATTGTTTGTTGTTGTACAAAAAAAAAAAAAAAAAAAATTTTTTTTACTATTAAAAATCGCCAGACATGACAATACAAATATTTTTACGTATTACTATTTACGTTATTTTCACGTTCTAAAAAAAAAAAAAATTACAACAAAAAATTAATGACTACAAACAACTACTTACATGTACGCTAATTAAAAATTTTAATTATTATTATTATTATTTTTTTTATTAATAAAAGGACAGATATAATTTTTTCTCAACGTTATTTAAAAAAAAAAACGTAAAAATTCACATCGTAGGTTAATGAAAAGTTTTTTCCTTCTTTTCGAAAGAGTAGGAGGATGAGGAAGAGGAAGATACATCGAGAGAAATTTTTTTTTTTTTTCTCTGGAATGAATTGTGTCTCCTCGTTTTGTTTTCATTTTATAATTTTTACTATTTTATATAATTTTCAAGGCAAACAAAAAATTTTTATATATTATGTTTTGCAATTACGGATGTTCAAACTAACATCGGCGGGTCCTTATTGAACCAAATCATGTTTGCCTTGAGCTTGAGACCCTCAGTTTTTTTTTTTTTTAATATTTATTTAACATTACATTACATCCCCTTGATAAAAAAGATTATTATTATTATTTTCAATTGAATTTTTCAAAGTCACATTATTTATGGTTTATTTATTATTATTATTATTATTAACTTTCGATAATCAGGTCATGTTTAATAAGAATTTTTTTTTGATATTGAAAATCTTTTATATATAAAATTAATAATTTTCAGCGCGGAAAAATCCGTAAATCTCCTCATTCAAATAAATATTTAAAAAAAAATTATTATTATTATTTTTTTTGATTTTAATTAAATATATTATATAGTAAACATAATCGGGAAATTTATTTTGGAAATTTTTTTTTTTTTTTTTTTTTTTACTAATGCGTGGAAAAAAAAGAAAAGAAAAACTACTCGAATTTAAAAATAAAAATGATGTGTGCGGAAAATTTTGTAATTTTTTAAATTCTCGTAAGTCTTGTTTTCAGTGATGTAAACATTTGAAAAAAAAAAAAAAAAAGAAAAACTTGCTTGAAAAGTATGTGAAATTTATGTGATTTTTGTAAATCGGTTTGTTTTTCTTTTAAAATTATATTTTATTCTTTTTTTTTCTTTTTTGCAAAAAAATTATTTAATTTGTTTTTTTTTATTTTATTTTTTTAAGAGGATTTTCCGATTTTCCGATTTGTATGTGTGTAGATAGGCGTGTCTCACATGCAAAATAATAAAATAAAATCACAAAACCTGTTTTTTTTTTCCAATATTAATAGTTTTTTTTTTCCTCCGTAATTATTAAAAAAAATAATTATCAATATTATTATAGCGCCATTGTTTTTTTTTCTTGCTTCGATATCCATTTTAATAATTTGTTTTTAAAATTTGCTAAATCATTTTACTCGTCCTATTATTTAAATCTTTAAATAATATTTTATTTATTTTAATAAGTTTTTTTTTTTTTTTTTTTAGTAATAATTGATTCAATTTTAAATATGTTTATTAATTTTTTAAATAAATTTTTGTAGTATTCTTAGAATTAATAATAATAATAATAATAAAAAACTTTAGCCCTAAGATAATTTTAGTTATTTATTTATTTATTTTATAAAACATTAATTAATTAATTATAGCTAATGGAAAAATATATTAGATTCAATTAATATTAAAAATTAATACGGTTTATATCTGTCTATGATTTTACGGGCAATATTTAATTTTCATTTAATTTTTTTGAGGTAATCAACTATTAGAAAATAAATTTTTTATAATTCCAGGTAATTCTTTTGTATGAGGATTGCGTGTATTTTAAATTCAGCCTTGACTTAAATTTAACAATAAAAATTTTTTTTTTTTTTCCCTAAGCAGTGCATGGAATAATTTTTTTTTTTTTTTTTCCAAAAGCAAAATCAATATAAATAGAATTTATTAATAAATAAAAAAAATAAAAATAAATTCTCTTCTCCCTTAAAAATTTGTTTCTGTTTACTGACAATAACAAAAATAATGATGATAAGGATTTTTATAGTTTTATAAATAAAATTTTTTTTTTTTTTTACAGAGAATTCCTCCGTTAAAAATTCACGATTTAATTGAAGACTTGAAAGATGGAACGAAACTTCTTGCCTTATTGGAAGTCCTGTCGGGAGAAAGACTACAAGTCGAAAGAGGGAAAAACCTGAGAAGACCTCACTTTTTAAGCAATGCCAATACTGCCTTACAATTTTTAGCTAATAAAAAGGTAAGAAATATGATAAAAGTAAATAAATAAATACAGAAACCTTTTTGAATTGTTCGCAATAAACTATAATTAATTTAATTTATTTTAAATTGACTTATCAGGTATAATAATTATTATTTTAAATACATTTAATTTTCCGTTTACTATCAATATTTTTTTTTTTAATAGATTAAATTAGTAAACATAAACGCTTCTGATTTGGTAGATGGACGGCCTCCCGTTGTTTTAGGCCTCATATGGACAATCATATTATATTTCCAAGTAAGTTGATCATTTAATTGTTTTTATAGGTAAGGTAATTTTATTGTAAATTTTTCAATTTTTATAAATAAAAAAAAAATAAATAAAAATTTCCGTTTGTATGGTATATAATAATAATGAATTAACTTTCGTATTATCGATAATAACGATAATAATAAAAATTACGTAATGAAAAAAAAAAAAAAAAAAGAAAAATTTTAAACTTTTATATTTTTAAACAAGCTGCGACCATGGACTCGAACCAATTGGGTAGGTATTATTGTTTAACCTTCGCCTATCAAATAATTAATTTGGCGGGTTACTTATAAGAATTATGTATAATTATTGGCTGTCGTGAAAAAACATGGGAAGATAAAATTTTAACACGAATTTAAAAGGCTTTGGGCGAAAGCAGTAGAGGTCATAAAAATAAAATTTTTTTAAAGAGTTTAACTCTTTCGTTTTTTTTTTTTAATTTTAAATTATGTTACTCTATGTATATTGTTAATTATCATTATTATTATTATTTTCGCGTACTCGGTGTACGAAAAATTCTGTAGTTTAAAAAAAAAAAAAATGGAATTTGCTTAATTCATAATGTAATGCTTTTCCTTTGAAAAAAATTTTTAGATTGAAGAAAATACTCGTGCCTTAGAATCATTAGGACATACTTTTGGTGGTAGTACCAGCAGTCTTGAAAGTATTAGTGAAAAAAGACCGAGACTTTCAACTCCTTCAAAAGCGAATAAAGTTGGAGCTAAAAGAGCTTTACTTCAATGGGTTGCAAGGGCACTACCAAAGTAAGTAATTTTATTTTTATAATGCATACGTTTGAATATTAAACATATTTATTTTTGTTTATCTACGGAAAATACAGCAAACATAATTTTAATATAATTTTTCTTTCGATAGAGACCTAAATGTTGAGGTTAAAGACTTTGGACCGAGTTGGAGAGATGGAATTGCTTTCCTCGGTGTCATAGAAGCCATTAGAGCTGGATTAATCGATTTTGAGACTTTGAAGAGAGCGACAAATCGCCATAGATTAGAGACTGCTTTTGATGTTGCTGAAAATGAATTGGGAGTTGCCAGATTGTTGGGTTGGTTTTATTAATAAATATATATGCGAATGTGAATTATTTGGTCTCTTGTTTAAATATTTGAAAATGATTTTTCTTTAAAAACTTTAATTATAGATCCGGAAGATGTTGACGTTGATAGACCCGATGAAAGAAGTATTATGACATACGTTGCACAATTTTTGCACAAATATCCTGAGCCGAATACTGATGCCCTAGCAAATTTGCAAAGCGAACATACTTTCTTACTTAACTGGTTGATACAAACCACACAAAGCCTTCAGCACATGAAGGACACCAATACCTTGCCTATGAATTACCGGGTACGCGATTGTTTATTTATTTATTTTCTCATCTTAATATTAAATAAAAATTTTCATTAACATTGTTATAATTAAATAATAATTATTTTAGGAATTTACCACACTTAGAGCTGAAGCTTTAGAAAAAGCCAAAATTTATGAAAAATTTGGCAAAATCGTCGATTCTCAAAGCATAATCAGCATTAGTTTAGAAGCGTGGAAAGAAATGGAAAAGCTTTGGATTCTTTTAGAAAATCTTCTTCGCTACTGGGAGTGGCTTCTCGATTCTAAATTGTTAGGTTTGTTAGGGGAAGTGGTGAATTGGTTAAGCCAAGCTGAAAATTTGATATACAGCGATGAAATACCTCACGTTATGAACGAAGAAACTGCTGGTATTATTAGTAGAAAATTAGAAGAACACAAGGCATTTTTCGCGAATTTACCCAAAGTGGTCGAAAAATTTGAAACGTGCAAGAAAACATGTGATCTTGCCAATGTCCCTCCAGATCAATTACGCAATATACAGAATAGAATAGATTCGATAGGTACTCGGGCTGCCAGAAGACGAATTAAATTAAAATATTACGAGCACAAGGTAAGTATCATTTGAAAATGTTATAATTTTATTTTTTGCACATTTGTGCTCATATAAACTATAATTAATTTTTTATAGTGTTGCTTAATTGCGTTTTTGCATTTAACGGAAACTAAACTTAAAAATTGGACTGTTAAATACGGGCGAGAAGAACAAGTTCAACAACTTTTAGATCAATATAAAAATTTTGTATCTAAAAACAAAATATTTCAAGAATTCAACAAAGCTTTCATTGATATGCAGCAAGTAGTTGAAGAATACAAAAGAGAAGGCGATGTTGGTAAGGAAAAAATATGATGATAATAATTTTTTTTTTTTTTTTTTCCTCTATCGAAATAAAGTTGCATTGAAAAACTTTTCAACGTTTGTATTACGCTGAATTAAAATTGAAATTTATATAAATCTAATAATTTTATTTTCGATTCAGATGATCGAGAAAGTTTAGCCATTGATCAGTTTATGAGAAACACTAATGATCGATGGCGTTCAGTGTCAATGGAGTTGAGATGCGTTCAAAGTATGTTAGAAGAAGTTTTAGCTTATTGGAAACGTTGGAATTCATCTGCGGATGAGTTTGAAAAATGGTTAGAAAGAGCTTACTCTATGAAAGACCAACCGGAAGACGAAAAAATGGAATTTTTCCAGGTTTGTTACCTTGTGAAATTGATTTTTTTTTTTTAATTCACAGTATTAATTTATTTTATTATTATTATTAGGATTTAAGTACATGGAAAGACAAAAACCAGCAGTTAAACGACACTGTAAGTTTTCTTGTCGCTACATGTGAAGAACCCATTGCTAATGAATTAAGAGAACGATACGGACGAATGAATATTTTATGGGAGCAACTTTTCCCGAGTATAAAACATTACATGAAAGCGGGAGACTTATATAAACATAAAAAAGATTACACTTTAGGATTAGAAAAATTACAAAAATGGTTGAGGTCTGCCGAGAAAACACTTTCCGCGACACCAATCAATTCCTCGGAAAGTATGAAAGCTTATGGAGATGAATTGAAAAAGCTTTCAATCGAACTCGAAGAAATGGAAGAACTTTTTAAAGAAATTAGCAAAAAATTTCAAGGTCTTATACCCGATTTAACGAGGGATGAGGTCGATCAAATTATGAACACGTTAAAAAAAGAAAAAGGTAAGTTAAAAGATAGTAAATAATTTGGTGCATTATTCTCTTTTAACATAAACAATTTTTTTTTTTTTAAGAATCGTTGGTTCGGATCCGTGCTCAAATCCCGGTGCAAATGCATCTCTACCATCAAATTTTAGTCCAACAAGAGTCTTTGGAAGTTGGATTAAACGAATTGAAAAACTGGCTAGATAAAGCTGATGAACACTTGTCAAAGTATTCCCTGTCAAATGATCCTGAGGAATTAAAAGAAAATTTAAATAAACATAAACAATTTTTCAACCGTACTCTTTATTACAAGTAATTTATAAATTAAATATATAAAAATATTTTTTAATTTTAATTAATTTACATATTCTACACATTGTTATTGCTACGATTGCGTTTCAGGTCCATGTTGGAAAGTAAAAATAAAGTTTATCAAAATATAATTAAAAATATTGATCAAAGTGGAGGACCAGTGCCCATTGAAGTGACGTCGAATACAAAAGAAATTAATGAGAGATTTGCAAAAACAATTGATTTGGCCACTCAGTGGGAACAGGTATTTAAAAAAAAATTTAATTTAAAATCCTAAAATTTAAAATGGAATTTATAATACTTGACTTTTGTTACAGAAACTTATCAATGCTCTTCAAATTTGGGAAATATATTTGAACAACAGAAAGTTTGTATCCGATTGGTTAGATAAAGCAGAGGATCTAGTGAAAGAAAATGATGATAGAACTGGAATTGAAGAGCAGAAACTCTTTTTTGAACCGCTTAATGAAAGCGTAATTGAAAATTTTGAAAAATCAGGCAAAGAACTGCTTAAAATTCTTCCATCCGAAAAACAAGTACATTATTTTTTTCGACTAAATTTTTTATAAAATTTGTGATAAAATAAATTTAATTAAAATTTTTATTACAGGCACCAATTAAAGAAAATATTAATCAACTACAACGAAGATGGCAGAATATGTCTGCTCTTGCACCTTTGCATCTTTTGAAAATTGAATTCAAATTAGAGGAAGTTTTATTTTTGGGACTCTTAAATGATATTATTAAGGAATTAACTTCTCAACAAACGGCTCTCGACAATGGTGAAGAAATATCTCGTCTCACTGCTAGAAGTCAAGAATATTTTAAAAATGGAAAAACAGTCAAAGGTTTTTTGAGAAAAAATTTTTTTTTCCTTTTTTTAAATTAATTTTAAATTCATATTTTAAAAAAATTACATTTCATTTAAATTTTTTTTCTAGATTGTGAAAAAAGTTTGGATAATTTAAAGAAAATTTCTGCTCTTTACGGTCAGAAAAATCCAAAAGATGCTCTTTTGAAAGAAACTTTTGAGAAAAATCAAAAACAGTGGAGTGTTGCTATGAAGAATGCAGAACGACTTAAAGCTCATTTGGACCAGGTACCAGAAAAATGGGTCAAGTATCATCAACAGTATCAAGAAATGGTAAATTGGATGGATAAAGTTGATGAGAACATTAAAAAATTATTTAAGAAAACAGAAACTTTGGACGATTTTAACAAAGAGCGACAGGAATTTCAAGTAATATAATATATATATATTTAAAAAATTATGAAAATTTGTTTTTTATATAAACTTTACGAAATAGTTTTTAAAAAAATGACTCATTTGCAAATTACAGAATATTTGTAAGGAAGTCGAAGGAAAGCGTGAAACTATTAAATGGTTGGTTCAAAATTTAGATGACTTAATATCCAGTAGAAATGATTCTGAAGCAGAAAAAGAGCAAAAACTTTTGCAGAATCTCATTGCTAGATATAAAGCATTGATACCGACAATTGAAATGACAGTTACACAAACTGAGCTTTTCATTAAATGTTACACATATAAAAAAGAAGCCGACGATGTTTGCAATTTACTTAAAAGGTAAAATCATTTTTAGAAAGTTTTTAAAAAATGAATTTAAAAAAAGAAAATAAAAATTTTTAATCCGTGTCTTAATTTAAAGGGTTGGCGAAACATCGGAAACTACACCTCATCCGGAAACTTTGAACGCTGTTACCCAAATGATTACTCAGCAAGAGGCCGCTGTCTCTAATTTGGACAATCAGCGAAGTAATATTATTTCTATGTTACAACGCGGTAGGGAATTGGCCAAAGACCCTCATGCACCTACATTTGTCAGTGAACAAGTAGCCGATTTAGAAACAAAATGGAATAAAGCATACAATACTACTCTTGAAAAATTGAATAAACTCAAAAGTTAGTAAAAAAAATTCAACACTTTTTTTTATAATTTCAATCACATTTTAAAAGTAATTAATTATTTTGAATCTAATTTATAAATGAAACTTTTTTTTTAGACACTCAAAAAGTTTGGCATAACTATAAAGGGCAAAAGAAAGAAATAAGTGAATTGCTTGAACGTGCCGAACAAGAGTTAAAGCAAATGCAAGGGAAGCCGGCTTCGAGAGACGTCGTCCGTGAATTAAAAGAAAAGCAGGAATTAAGCAAGGCCTTAAGGCAGGCAACCGAAGAACTCTTGAAGAGATTGAGAGAACTTTGCTTATCTTTAACCGCAGTGACAGCTCCCGAAAGAAAACCGTTGCTGCAAAAGGAAGTTAGTGTTAAACTTTATTTTTATTTGAATTCCAATTAAATGATAAACGCTTATTAATTTTTTACTTTAAATTTAAGGTTACGGACGTAGAAAAACGTTTGCAAACTACTTTGCAATCAGTCGAAAACAGAGTAGTATTTTTAGAAAAATTAAACAACGATTGGAATAAGTTACACGCCGACTTAAATGATTTGAGACAGTGGACCATTTACAGTGCTCCTATTTTGGTTGAAGCATTGCAAACGGAGGAAACAGAACCCAGAGAAAGGCTGAACAGTGCTAAAGTATTACAACGAAACTTGGTTGGCAAAATAGAACTTACCAAGCAACTAGAAGAGAAATGTAAAGAGTTAACAGGAGGTAAATTTTTAAATTAAATTAAATTAAATTATTAAATTTAAAATAGTGAATTAATCAATATTAAAAAAAAAAATTTCAGATGATGATAAAAATCCAGATTCTCAAAAAATAAAAGCTGAAATTAAATCACTTGGCGATTCGCTCAAAGCTTTAAAAGACTCTGCTGATAACTCTGAACAAGCCATTGTTAGCAGTATTGAGGTTTATGAGCAACACAAGAGTACAGCGGATATGTTAAAGCCGTGGCTGGAAAAAGCACAAACTCAATCTGCTAGCATTGCCAAACCAGTTACTTTGCAAGATATAGAGAATCAATTGGTTCAAGCAAAAGTATTTCAAACGGAATGCAAAAAACAATATTCTCAATTACAAGGTATTTTTGCTTAACATATAACACGCAAATATTTTTTTTTTTTTTTTTTTTGCAAAAGTTTAATGAAAATTTTAATTTTTAATTTTTTTTTAGGATTACCCGCCGTACCCAAAAATGTTTCCATCACTGCTCTGGAAGAAGTTGATAATCTTAAAGCAAAATGTGAATTCATTAAAACCAAGGCTGATTATCAAGTTCAAAAATGTGAAAAAACAATAAAAGCCTACGAAGAATTTGACAAACTTACCAAGGCTTTTGAAAATTGGGTAGATGACATTGAAAAGAAACTCAAAAATATTACTAAAGACTCCGATTTAAGTCAAGCTCCGACTTGGGATGAAAAATCGGAAAAACTTAAAGTAAGACTTTTTTTTTTACATACTATTAATTTAATAAATAAACTAAAAGTAAAACTTTACTTATCATTTTATTTTAAAATTTAGGTTTTAAATAGAGAAATATTGTCTAAACAAGCTGATTTAGCAAAGGTCAAAAATGCATCCGATGATTTATGCCAAGGATTAGCTCCAGAGGGAGCCGTCGTTGTTAAAAATAGAGTTCAAGAACTTAAAAATAAAGTTATGAAACTCGGTGAAGAAGGTCAAAAACAAGCAAACTTTTTGGCTGATAAAATAATCGAAAGGTTAGATTTTATCCTATTCGGATATTTATATTATAGATTATATTTTTATTGTTGTTCATCCTCCAAAATGTGTTGGAATGAAATGTTTTGCATATTTACAGGCAAGATTTAGATTCTAAATTAGATGCATTTACCAAATGGGCTAATGATTTCAATGATAAATTAAATTCAACTGAAAATGTCGGTTTTACTTACAACGATATCAATGCTCAAGAAATACATAATCTTTTGTTGGATCATAACGAAAGATTACCTTTACTTAATAGCATTATTGATCAATACAATTCTATGCTTACGAAAACGTCATCAAAAGAAGCAAAAGATATGGAAAAACCATTTAAAAAAATAATTGACCAATATAAGGTATCGTTAAACAATAATAATTAATTTAAAAATTTTGATAATTCCAAAAGCGATTAACGAAAAAAAAATGAATTAACTAATTATTATATTTTATAATGCAGGAAACTGAAAAAAGATTGCACAATAAAAAACAAGCTCTTGATGGATGGGCGGAATTTTTACCTTTTAATAATGACGTATTGGAGCACTTAAAATATGCTACAACCGCCTCACAAGATACCGATTCAAAATTGGAATTTATAACAGCTTTAGTGCAAGAATTAGATGCGATTAAATTGAAACTTGAGAGTTGGAAGGAACCCTGCAACAAAATTGACGATTTATGTCAAAAAAGTAACGTTGTTGTTAAGGATCAAAATGGCTTGCCCGTAACGACAAATCAATTAATGGCGAAAATGGAAAAGCAGTACTCAAGTGTAGCTGACAAGCTTAAACAACGCCAAGACACCCTGCAAGCCGTCAGAACTCGTCGTAATCAATTTGTCGATTTACAAAAGAAATTGTCTGATGATTTAGCCAAAACGCAAGAAGAGTTGTTAGATGTTTTGAGAAGTGTAACGACCGGACAAACCTTTCAACCTGCCATTGAAAAATTGAAAAAATTATCCGAAAAACAAGAGAAAAATTTACCGACAAAAACAAAAGTTCACAGCGAAGGTTCAACTCTCATGAAAGAAGATCAGACATGTATAGAACCTGTTCAGAACTTTTTAACGAGTGTCGATTCCGAATGGGACAAGACAGATGACATATTGAAAGTTCAGCAAAAAAGAATTTCCGATATGTTACAAGCTTGGGAAAATTTATTAACCATTAAGAATAACTTTAACGCTGAATTAAATGACATTAAAAAGAATATTAACGATGGAAAAAATTCAAAGGATTTAAGTGATTCGGTCATAAAATCCAATTTAGATCAAGCTCGAAAATGTCTAGATCAACTTAAAAAACTTAAAAATACTTTTAACACTATGACAAACAAAGCTAATTTTATCATCAAGCAAACGGAAAATTTAGAAAATTTCGACGAAAAAGAATTAGAAGATTTGTTGAAAACGGCTCAGGAAGAGTGGAAAAACCTATGCGATGACGTTGTTAAAAGAATACAATATTTGGATACTCAAAATATTTTATGGGAACAAATGGAAGATGAAAAAAATTCTATCCTCGAATGGATCAAACATTGTAATGATAGTTTTAACGTTTCTCTCAAAAATTCTGAACAAATGAAGGGAAAATTAGTAAAATACAATGATGATTTGCCAATTTATAGTAACTTGAAAATAAGTGCGGAAGCCAAAGCAGATCAATTGATGAAATTAAACGAGGGTAAAAACGTTAAACCGGTGCAAGACATAATGAAAAAATTAAATGATGAATTTGAATTACTTAAACTCACGGCTAAAAAAATGCAAGATATGGCGTCTTCCTTTGGTGATCAAGAACAAGCTGTTAAAAAGGAAATTAAAAAAGCAGGGGATTTGATCACTCAAATAAGGGAAGCAGTTATTTCCTGCGATGACTTAACAGGGGATAATAATCGTATTTTACAAAGGTTCAATAATATTCAAGGTTATCAAAAAGATTTAGAAGGTTTTCACGGAGCTCTTAAGCAAATTAACGAAACGGTAAAAACAATGAAAAACGAATTTCCCGATTTCGGAGATTCTAGTTTAGCAAAAGAGCTTTCTAGTTTAGAAAAAAGATATGAAAACGTCGTGTCTCATGCCAATAAGGTAGAAAATAATTTGAGAGGATATTTGACAAAATATTGTAACGAAAAATTTGGATCCTTTGACCGAATTTTGAAAACTTTAAACGAAAAATTAAAATGGTGCATTCCCGATGAGAACAACGATCGTTATAATATAAACTTAAAATTGTCATCTTTAAAAGACGTTGAAAATGAACTTGAAGAGTGCAAAAACAAAAAATCTGAATTAGATCAAAGTTTACAGTATTTGGAAAAAGTAGAAAATAAGGAAAACATTGATAAATTTAAAGTTCAAAAGAAGAAACTTTTGGATGATATGGAAGAGTTGAACAAAATGTGTAAAACCGTTGGGGAAAAATTAAAAGCTGGCTCTCAACTTTGGGAAAAATACGATCTTATGTTTGAAAATTTGGCAAGTTGGCTCAAAGAAAACGAGGGAAAAATTCGTTCGGAAAGTTACAACCAAATAAATATTGATGAAATTCCCCAAAAAATAAAAGAAACCGAAGAATTTCAGAAAAAGATTCATTTGATGAAACCAGAAATTAATCATTTAACGGAATTGGCAAATGAGATAGCAAATGAAAATCCTGAAGCTCGTACAAAACAATATTGTTCTCATTTATCAACAAGATATCAAGCGATTGTGAAATTTATCGATTCCCATTTGGAACGTTTGGAAAATTTAAAGAAAAGTGAACAATTATATAATAATGCTATACAGGATGTAAAACAATGGCTTAATGAATCCGACGACAAGCTGAAAAAAATTGAAGGCAATTTGGTAAAACCACCAAAAAGTTTGAGTGAATTTCAAAAGCAGGTAGACGAATTGAAGAACTTTGATAAAAATAAAGAAAAAGGACAATCTTTGCTTAATGCTGCCATTGAAAAAGGAGAAGTTTTGTTTTTGGGAACTCACCCAGAAAATCGAGAAAACATTCGGTCTGAACTTCGAGTCCTCAGAAGTTCAATGGAAAATCTTCAAGATCGAATCAATAACATGAATAAAAAAGTTGAAACGATCATTATGCAAAGATCATCTATAGATGAAAGTTATTCACAGGTAGAAAAGTGGTTAAACGATGCTAAATTAAAATTGGAAGAGAAATATGAACCAAAAGCTACTCTCCAAGAGAAAAAATTATCATTGCATAACTACAAGTTGCTTTACCAAGATGTGAAATCCCGTAAAAATATGTTGGAACAACTTCAAGAAAAAGTTGCTTCTCTTTCGGACGATGATTCCACCAAAAAATTAGAAAATATGACCAAAGAATATGATAACCTAATAAAAACGATAGAATCAAGAATGAAATTAGCTGAAAAAGATGTTTTAAGCCATGAAAAGTTTTTATTGTCTTTAGAAAAGTTTCACGATTGGTTAGAAACCCTAAAAGCTGAAGCGGCTCCAGTGGTTTTCGCAGTAGATGCAGAAAAAGAAAGCGCCGTTGTAAGACTCGATTGCTTGGATAATTTATTACGTCATAAAGATGAGGGAGATGAAATGTTGAAAGTATGCAAAGACAATTTAAAAGATGCCCTTTCTGGCACGAGCGCAAGTGGTCAACCTGCTTTACAGAAAGAGGTTGAAAACGAGAATAAAGAGTGGGTTGAATTTTTGCAAAAATGTGAAAATATGCGAGACAAATTGAACCAATTTTGCAACAAATTTACGGAATTGGAAAATAGAGTGGAAGAACTTTCAAATTGGACAAAGAATCACGAACTACAGGTCAAAGATCAAAGTTTAAAAAGTACTTATGAAGCCAAACTTCAACATTTAAATAAATTAAAGAACTTGGAAAAAGATATTCAGAAAAAAGGTGAAGAATTTAACAAAGTCAATGATGATTCAAAGGATGTAGAAAGAGATTCGGATTTAGTTGGAAAAGTTTCAAAACTAAATGCTCGTTATCAAGGATTGAAGAATTTGGCTAAAGAATCCATTGCAAAATATGAAGTTTATTCTACGGAACATAAAGCATTTAATGACAATTACAATAAATTTGACAAATGGTTGACCGACACGGAGAAAACACTACAAGAGCAAAGTGGAATCGTTGGAGATGTTGGTTTCTTGCAAGAAAAGCAGAAAAAATTGAGAGAATTAAATGATTTAAAAAATAAGGAAAACGTTACGTTCGATGCATTGCTTGATGCAGGAGAAAAACTTTACGTGCATACGTCTCCAGAAGGTAGAGAAATAATAAGACAACAAATACGTACAATGAGATCTAAATGGGAGAATATTGGAACCGAATTACAAAATACGATTGAAAAAGTTGACGAATGCTTAGTTCAGTTTGCGGAATTCGCTCTTAAACAAGAAGAACTTACAAAATGGTTAAAAGAAGTTGAGAAAGCTATGCAACAACACATGGAATTAAAAAATAATCTTCAAGAAAAGCGTGCACAATTACAAAATCATAAAATTATTCATCAAGAAATATTAGGGCACCAGGACTTGGTAGACGGTGTCTGTGAAAAAGCAAGGCGTTTAGTAGATCAAACAAAAGATACGTCTTTAAACGTATACTTGAATTCCATTGGTAAACTATTTCACGATATTGTTTTACAATCTCAAGGACTTTTGGAAAGTTTGGAGAAAAATGTCGAAAACGATACAAAATTTTCAAACGAATGTAAGGACTTTCGAGATTGGTTGTCATTTGAAAAAGACAAACTTCAGGAATGTTCCGATTCCACCGGAGAACGTCATGATATTCAAAAACGTTCTGCCAGTTTGCAAACCCATTATCAGAATATAAAGGAAGGCGAAGGCAAAATTGACAAAGTTAAGGATGCTTTCAATGTAGTTGCTAAAAGCACAGCACCTAAAGGACTTTTAACTGCCGAAAAAGAAAAAGACACTTTAGTTGAAAACTTTAAACAATATCAAGACGACATTGGTAAGTATTATAAATTAAAAATTACTCATTTAAAAAATATAAAAACTTATTTTATACATTGATTTTTTTTATTTCCCGTAGGAGTTATAGATAAAAAGCTCAATGATTCGATTAAAAATTGGCAAGACTTTGAACAATTACTAGACGAACACTCCAAATGGTTCAAAGAAGCCGAAGTTATTTTTAGACAAGATAAACTGTTGGGATCTCTTCCAGAAAAAGAAGCCGAGCTTAAACTCTTAAAAGAAAAAAGAAATTCTATAACTGAACGTGAACCTAAAATCGACGAATTCGTTGATAAAGGTCATTCATTATTCAATTTGACTGGCACTGAAAGAATCATGCCTTTGATATCTCAAATAAGTAACAAGTAAGGTTTAATTTTAATTTTTTTTTTTTAAACTTTAAACATTATTCTTAAATGTTTTTCCCAGTATTCAAAAAAAAAAAAAAATTTCTGTTTTTAAAAGGTATCAGAGCTTGCTCACGCAAAGCAAAGAAATGGTTAACCGTTGGCAAGATTTAGTTGACGCACACAAAGCATTTGTGGATAAATTAAAAGAAACTGAAGATTGGTTGACTGCTTTTGAAAAGCGTCTTAACGACGTTAAAAATGACAGCGATTTGCCTTCGAAATCAGAAAAATTAAAGGTTTTGTTATCTGAAAACGAACAGGCACCTCACAAGTTGACCAATTTAGCAACAATGGCGGAAAATTTATATCCCGAAACGTCTGCTGCTGGTCGTGAGCAAATAAGGAATTCTCTTAAGGAAATTCGAGACAAGTAATGTATTTTTAATAATTTTATTTTACATTAAACTAAAAACTTACACGGGCGTGCAAAATAAATGTACTCTGTTAAAAACAACAAATAATAATAATGATTTTAATTGTTTCTGCAATAATAAAATAAAATTTTTTTCAGGTGGGATAAATTAGAAGAAGACATTTTGGATCAGCAGAAAAAACAAGATGCAGCTTCTCAACAATGGGCAAGCTATCAAGATATTCTCAACCAAACATTAAGTTGGATAAATCAAATGGAAGCAAATTTAGCTCCGGAACACAGTTCTTGGTCTTCGATTCAAGAAATTCGTCCGAAATTATTAAAACTTAAGGTTTTTATATTAATTAGAATTTTTTTTAATTTATTCATTTTTTATAATAACCTAATCAATGATATATATATTTTTTTTTTTTTATTGAAGACTACACTTCAAGAAATATTGGCTCATCGGAGAATCATTGAAAGTTTAAAAGACAAATCGACTTCGATGAAAGACGCTCCGACGTACAATCAAATCAAAGAAGGAGTTGATTCGGTAGCTAAAAAATATGAAAATTTAGTTACCGGATACCAAAAAAATATTGGTCAAATGGAAGAAAGTCTTGGTGTTCTTCAATCATTCAATGATTTAGTTAAAGATCATCAAGACGGTCAAAAACAAATCTGGGATGCACTTTCTGGATGTTCAGGTTAGTACAGCTTTTAAAAAATTAATCGTGTCACATGATCGATGTTTTTTTTTTTTTAACGGAAAAATAATTATGAAAATTATTTTTTTTAGATTTGAGTGGAAATAAAGCCGCGTTAGAAGAACGTCTTGTAAAGTTAAAAGATATAAGTAACAAACTGCATCAGTCTGAAGCTGTTTTAGATTTATTAAGTAAAAATATATTGGAAAAGGGAAAAGGTTTACCGGCCAAAGCCAAAGAAGTTATGGAAAGAGACATTAATAATCTAAAGTATGTATCAAATCAATAACAATTAATGAATCGTTGTTTTTTTTTAAATATTTATTTATTTTTTTTTTTCCGTCAGATACGATCATGACTTGTTGAAATCAAAGGTAAACGACATACAAAACGGTTTGGAAAGCAGTTTGAAACAGTGGAAAGATCACGAAGAAAATTTAGAAGTTTTATTAAAATGGTTGTCGGAAACGGAAGGAGCGCTTAAAAATTTCTCTCCACGTTCTACGTTCCCAGAAAAACAAGAGCAATTGGAAAAATATCAGGTAAATAAAATATTATAATGCGTATTTTGAAGGATTCCTGAATTTTCAAATCATTTTTTTTATTTATTAATTTCATTCCATTTCGCGTTACAAAAATTTTATACATAAATAAATACTTCACTTATTCCTTTTTTTTATTTTAATGTTCAGGACTTGAGTGAGGATATTGATTTACACAATTCACAAATATCCGAAATAATTGCTTTTGGTGATAATTTAGAACAAGTAAGAAAAATAAATTGTGTTCGTAGAAATTAAAAAAAAATTTTTTTTTTGAGTTTTTTTAGCTTGAAATTGAAATATTTAATTAAAAATAACAATTTTTTTACCAACTATTCTAATTCAATTTATTAACAATACTTTCAAACTCTGTTTTTTAATTAAATTTTTAAAAAAACTTTTAAATTAACTTTAATTTTGCACATTAATAAACAAATTTCTAAATTTCTATTTATCTAGAAAATAACACAAAACTTACTTTATTTAATATTTTGAATTTATTTGAGTTTATTTACACGACTGTATTTTGATTTGTTTATTTTGGTTTTAGAAAAAAAAAAAAAAAAAAACTTTTTTTTGGTATATTTGTTTTTTTTTGTTGTTGTTTTTGTTGTCATTACCTGTCACCGCAGTATTTTTTTAACGCTAACGTTTGGTTTTTATTAGTCGTAAAAGGTTTTTTTAGTTTTTTTTTTTTTAACTTTTTTATCGACTGCGAAATTAATAACCCGCTCGAAAATTGAATTAAGGAAACCATTTGTAAAATCTAAAATAATAGATATGAAATGTACGTAAATCAAGTTAAATAACTCTAAATAAATTTATAAATATTGATTCATTGAAATTTTATTTTCAAGTCTTTGATCGTGAGCCAGCGACAAAAAGAAACCGATTTTGACAACATTAGTGATGTTTCATCTGAGCTAGCCCAAAACAGTGGCGATTCTAGAGTTTCCTCAAACGTTCAACAAATAGTATCTAGATATCAAACGGTTCAATCGACTACCAAAGATATCGTTAAAAAGTGTCAGAAAGCTGTTGAAGATCATAAAAATTATTTAGACAAGCAAAAGAAATGTGCGGATTTACTTGCTGCTGCTACATCTAGGTAATTTTAATAATAAATTTTAAAAAGAAAAAAAAAAAAAATTATTATTTAACCTATGAAATTTTTGTAACTCTATGATAAATATCTCTTAAAAACAAATAATCTTTACAAAAAAAAAATTTTAGATTTGAAAAACTTAAAGCTCTACCGGAGAACACACCCTCCGAACTCAACGATAAAAGTAAGGGTCTCAAAGAGTTACTATCAGAACAACCTAATGTCACTCTTCAAGTAAACACTACTATGGAAATGGGTGAGAAATTATATCCACAAACAGGAATAGAAGGTCGAGATATCGTTAGAAAACAATTAGAGGGTTTACAAAATGCTCTCGAAATATTATTTGATGGTGTCACGAGTACCGAACGAGAACTTCAAACTAAATTGACTCGATGGTCTAGTTTTAATGATACTGCTAATCAATTAGCAACATGGTTAAATACCATTGAAAAAGAGTTTTCAGGTATTTAGGCACTTCTTAAATACATACATTTTTTAAATTCCGTATTTAATAATCGTTAAATAAAACATTTTTTTTTTTTTTTTTTTTTTTTTTTTAAGGGGAACTTGAGTTGAAAAACACTCTAGATGAAAAAAGAGCTTTATTAAATACTTACAGAGGATTATTGCACGATGTAAGTTCTCATCAACCTGAATTCGTAGCTTTGAAAAGTCAATTGGAAGCTTTACCTCAGAAAAATAAAAAAGCGGAAGATGAATTCAAAAAACTTAGTCAAAGACATTCGGTTGTATTAAAAAAAGCTGGTGATGTATCGCAAAATATATCATAAATTTTTTTTTTTTTTTTTCTTTTTCTTTACGAATTCATTTTAATTTATTTTTATTATTAAAATAATTAAATACCACGAAATAGGCGATGCCGTTGAGAAATATGAAGATATAGTCAATTCCCATCAACGATACAGTAAAGCAGTAATGGATCTTCAAGAATGGCAAGACGCAACTCATAACACTGTAGAGTTATGGGGAGATGGAGATTTAGAAAGAGTCAGTTTAATTACTAATTTGGAAAGATTAAAGGTTAGACTTTCTTATTTAATTAAGGTTCTTTTTGGAATTGAAAAAATCTTTTACTCGTGCCATTTAAAATTGTTTTTTTTTTTTAAAATAGAATTTGCAGAAAAGTTTACCTGATGATAAATCAAAAATAGAAGAAGTTAAAGTTTTGGCTGAAAAAGTCTTACCCGGCACTGCGGATTCCGGCAAAGTTAACATACGTTCGCAAGTTGATTCGTCTCAGCAAGAATGGGAATCACTTTTATCTACGGTCAAGTAAGTTTTCCGGTGATTTTAAATTTTATTTTTACTACTCCAAAGGAATTTTATTTCAATAATTTTCAATTTGTCCAGATCTACAATCGAAGCCTTAGAAAATAAGCTCCAACAATGGTCCGAATTTGAGCAACTTAAAGATCAATGTTTGAGCTGGCTACGAGAGACCGATACCAAACTTCATGCTGTAGATTTAAAAGCTACAGTCAAGGAAAAAAGAAACCAATTGGAAATGCTTAAAAAGATTCAAGGTGAAGTTAGAGCCAAGGAATTGGAAATCGATTCTGCGACGGAAAAAGCTCAACAATTGTTTAAAGGACGAAATTCCAGTGCTTCCGAATTGGGTGTTAAATATCAACAGCTCTCTGCTAAAATAAAAGTAAAATTTTATTTTTTTTTTTTTTATCCATTCTCAGGTTTTATTATAAATTTTATTTTGTTAATAAAATTTTTTTATTATCGCAACAGGATTTGACCGGTCGATGGCAACAATATCTCAATTCTCATCAAGAGTTTGACACGAAAGCAAACGAATGCCTTCAGTGGTTAGATAAAATACGTAAAAAGCTTTCTTATTGTTCGGATTCTAATGTCGTTTCTCAAAAAGATTTAGAAGTTAAACTCGAAACGATTCAAGTAATTTAAAAAAAAAAATTCATTAAAAATTATTTAATTATTGGAAAGGGAGAGAGAGGCAAATAAAAATTTTTTTTTTTTTGTTCTTTTAGGGTTTATTACTTTGTAAAGAAGAAGGCTTTAGTAAAATTCAAAATTTGGTAGAATTGGGTCAAACGGTACTTGCCAACACTGCTACGCCAGGTCATGAAGAAATCAACAACACTCTCTCTAAATTACAAGAAGAATGGAGTGTTCTGGCTTCGAAAATGGTTGAAATTAAAACTAATTTAGATGATTCTATTCATCGATGGGCTGGATTTTTAGAACAAATACATGAATTGAAAAAAACCGTTGAGAGTTTAGAAAATAATTATAAAGATTTACTTCCTTTCCAAAGCACCATGTCCGAAAAAAGGGCTAATTTGGATAAAATAAAAGCTTTGGAGGAAAAAACAAGATGTGAAAAGGTTGAAGTAGATGGCCTTAAAGAAAAGGCTAAAGAAATGTTAGCCAGTGGACAACAAGGGCAGGCTGCAAAACAAGCAAAAGAAGTATTAAATGTATTTGACGACCTTGCTGATAAAATCAAGGTAAATTTATAAAAACAAAATACACTAAAATTTAACAAAAAAAACAAAAAAACTACAGACATTTTAATTTTTTTTTTTTTAAAATTGCAGAAACTTCTTGAAGAAAGAGAAAATCAATATAAAGATCACAGATTATACAAAGAAGCTCATGATGATCTTCTTGGGTGGCTTAATCGAGCTAGAGAAAAAGTACCATCGATGAAACAAAGATCGCTTTCCGATAAATTGGCTCTTGAGCAAGCCATTTCGTGCCTTGATTCTCTTTTGAAAAAGCAAGCACCCGGAGAGCTTTTGGTCGAACACTTGAATAATACCGGAGAGGTGGTACTTTCAAGCACAAGCCCACAGGGCAAAGAATTAATTAAAAAAGAAATGGAAGCTCTGACAGAAAGTTTTCACGGATTATTTAAAGGTAAATTATTTTTTCTTTCCACGGTAAATATTTATCGAAATAAAACTAAATTTACCTTTTTTTTTTGTTTTGTTTTTTTTTTTTTTTTTCTTGAAGACATAAATTCACAAAAAGATCAATTGGAAGCCATGGTATCGCAGTGGAGAGCATTCAAAGAAGAATATGAAAAACTATCCGATTGGCTTCAACAAATCGACATACTTGTGAAAGCTCAAAAAATCGCATTGCTTTCCACGGTACAAGAAAAACAAAAACAAGTCGCAGAAGTGAAAGACATTTTAGAAAAATTGGAAAAAGGAAATTCTCAGATTGTACAATTTAATGAAACCGCTAAATCTCTTCTTCAAAGTCATTTGGACACTTACGTTAATAACCAATTAAGACATTTAAATTCCCGATATCAAGTTAGCTTCCAAAATTTTCGATAAAAATATTTCATTTTATACAAATTTTAATAATTATTATTTTTTTTTTTTTAATAAAAGGTTCAAGTTAATTTAGCGAAAGATGTACTTAGAAAAGTTGAAACTAATTATGAACAACATAAAGAATATGAAAATCATCTTAAAAATGCTCAGGATTGGATCAAAAATGCTAAAGAAATCGTTAGGGTATCTAGCGAAGACAGCAATTCTACTGCTAGTAAAGAAGAACTTCAAGCTCGATTAAAAAAGGTAAATTTATTTTATTTTTACTTAAAAAATGGTTTTAAAAAAAAAACTATTTAAAATTTGTAATTTTTTTTTTTTAGATTCAAGATTTACTTAAAAATGTTGAAAAAGGACAAAACTTAATGCATTTAACCGTTAATTGCGGAGAAAAAGTTCTTAGAAATACAAAATCAGATGGACGTGATCTTATAAATAATCAATTGAAAGAATTACAAAGTGAATGGGATCGTCTTATCCGTAAATTATCAACAGCAAAAGTTCAATTGGAAACGGGACTCCTGCAATGGGCAGATTATAGTTCTAGCTATTCACAATTGCAACAATGGATCACGGATAGGGAAGCCAAATTGCAAGAAGTTTGTGAACAAAAGGTGAGTCATCAAACTACTTTACAAAATTTTTATTAAACATATATAATTTAATATATGAAAAAGTAAAAAAAATAAATTTCGTATGTGATTTTAATTGTTCAGTACAGCATTTTAAATTCTAAAAAGTTTTTTTTTTTTTTTCGTTTGATTTATTTTTAAATGAATTATTGCCGTAATATTTTTACTTGTTTTTTTTAGGTGGTCAAGGCCAAAAAAGGTCAAAGTACCGCTGGTCTTTCTAACCTTGGTCTCGGAGAAAGAAAAGCTACATTGAGACAAACGGATTCAATTGTTCAAGACATCGTTTCTTTCGAACCTGTCATTCAATCCGTTACCAGCAAAGCAGAAGATCTTTTACAAGCTCAACCAGCCAGTGAAATTTCCACCAAATATGAAACTCTCAGCAAACAAGCCAAAGAACTTTACGCCAAACAAAAAGAAACCGTAGAACAGCATCAAGCTTTCATTGATGCCGGTTTGTTTTAAGAACATACATATATATATATTTTTTTCACCAAATACATGTTTATATTTTTAATTACGTTTTATTATCAAACGGTTATTTTTTAAATTTTTAGGTAGTGACTTTGTGCAATGGTTGAGAAACGCCAAGGAAAGACTTGGTAAATGTTCTGATCCCACTGGTGACAAAGTAAATCTAACAAATAAAGCTGCTCAGCTGACTGTACTCAACTCTGAACTCCCCGAGGGTCAAAGTAAGTTGGAAAAAGCTCTTGCTGTTGCCGCACAAGCATGTCAAATAGCTGATCCCGAAGACAAAGAAATAATTGAAGAAGAGGTGGCCGTTTTGCAAGAAGAATTAGATATTTATTTAGAATCATTGTCCCGAGCTAAGCAATTGGTGGAAGCTGGTATTGTGAGATGGAACGAATACGAAGATCAATACAAGGAAGCTTGTAATTGGTTGTCACAAACGGAATCATTAGTGCAAGGTAAAAAATTATATTTAAAAAAAAAAAAAAAAAAAAAATTTTTTTTTTATTTATATCATATGAAAATTTTAACTGTTGTTTTTTTTTTTTTAAAAATTTATTAGGGTTTAATAAATTACAAGATAGTTTGGAAGAGAAGAAAAATGTTTTAGAACAATTTCAAGGTCACCTGCAAACTCTTTTTGATTGGCAAAAAGAAATGGATAGACTTAATATGAAAGCACAAGTTTTGTTAGAAACCTGTGCTGATACCAGAGTTAGTAACGCTGTGACTCAAATCACTTCCAAATATAATGCCTTACTATCTTTAGCCAAAGAGGTAATATAAAAAAATTATTAATTGTGATTAAATTCATTTTATCATTAAAGTTAAATAAATGAATTTAATTTAAAAAACAGGTCATGAGAAGATTGGAACTCCATTATCAGGAACACCAACAACATAATTCACTTTATCAAGAATGTCAAGACTGGGCCGAAAGAACGCGAGACAAATTGAACGAATGTTCGAAACCAATCACGTCTTTCAGTGACGCTCAGTCTAAACTTCAAACTGTCAAAGCATTACGTCAAAGTTTAGAAACTGGACAAAATAAGCTTCGTTACACTTTAGAACTTAAAGAAAAAGTAATTTTAAATACCGAAAAGACGGGAGCTGCTAAAATCCAGGAAGATACGGAAAATTTAAAAGCAGAATTAGATCGATTGTTTAGTGACGTTGATGAATTGAGAATGAAATTAGGAAATCAAGTATCTCAATTAGAAGATTTCAAAAAGAATTTGAAAATGCTAACGGATTGGCTTGATGAAACTGAATCGAAAGCTAAAAGTACCGATATTATTATGAGTGACCTCGGCGAGAAAAAAGCATTGCTTGAAAGATTTAAAATCTTGAAAAAAGATTTTAATAGTTACAGTGATTTGGTTAATAAAATCAAAACAAAAGTTGAAGAAGATCCCGCAATGGCTGACAAGGAAGTGGAAGAAAGTTTGAAAAGATTTGAAAAATTAAAGGATTGGATCGGTAAAAAAATTAAAAGTTTAAGCAACGAAGTCGTTGAACACGAAAAATACAAACAAGCCTACTCGGATGCTTCTGAATGGGTTAGAAAAGTGAGATTGGAAGTTCAACAATACAGTGACCCCCACGGTGAAAAAGAAGAAGCAAAGAAAAAGAAATCTAAATTGGATGAAATTGTTAAAACCTTCCCGGAGGGTCAATCTTTAGTAGATAAGGTGTTCGAATTAAAAGACAAGCCTCTTCAAAAATCTAGCCCAGAAGGACAAGACAACATAAAACAAGAATTAAAACAATTGAAAGACGATTGGGATGGTCTAAAAACTAATTCTGAAGACTCTCTGAAAATTTTAAACAAATGCATTACATTATGGGAGGAATTTGATAATACATTTAAGAAAATGAATGACTGGTTAACTAACTGTAAGAAAAAAGTTAAAGAAGAAGAAAAACGAAAAACTAACAGGAAACCAGAGGATCTTAAAGTTCTTCAAAATCTTTTGGATGAAACGAATAATCAAAAAGCACTTTCCGAAGAGTTGAACGATCGTTGTGAAAATCTCGTCGATATGAGTGCTTGCACATGGGTTCGTGACAAAACTATGCAACTTCAAAGTGAATACACTCAAATATTGACTACTCTCCAAAGTTTATTGTCTCAACTTCAGAAAAAATTGTCTGATTATACTGATTTTATTAAAGCTAGAGATGAATTGGATAATTGGTTGAATTGGGCACACGGCACCATCAAGGAATGTTCAGGAGTTAAAGAAGAAGGAGAAATAAAGGAGAAATTAGAGACTATTAAAACCGTTAGTCAAAGGTTAACTGAAGGACAAACGTTACTAGGAAAAGTTCAAGAAGTATTTGCAAAAGCCGTGGAAACCGCTCCCGGTGATGAACAAGATAAATTAAGAGAAGAAATAGCTCGATTAAGAGCTAGTTGGGATCAATTGAATATGGATCTTAATTCAACTTTGGCAGACCTTAAAGCCACACTCAGTCGATGGGAAGAATTAAAAGACAATCAAAATAGATTTGAAAAATGGCTTGAAGTTACAAGTCAAGAACTCAAAGAACCTCAAAATACTAAAGGTGAATTAGGAGAAATGAAAACTGCAGTGGAAAGATTGAAAAATATACAAGGCGAAATCGATCAGAAAAAAGGAGATATTTTCGGATTATTTAAAGAAGCACAAAAATTATGCGAAGGAATTAAAAAGCCTGCTTTGTTAAATAAAACAAAAGATTTAACGACTAAATGGCAGAAATTAAATGACACGTGTAAAAATTTAAGAGCATCCGTAGAATCCGAAATGAACGATTATTTGTCGTATCAACAACATTTACAAGATGTTGAAAAATGGCTGCTTCAAATTTCATTTCAACTCATGGCTCATAACAGTTTATACATTACTAATCGGGAACAAACTGAGGAACAGATTTCTCAGCACAAAAATCTTTTGAATGAAATTGCAAAATACAAAAATAATTTGAATGATTTGACAAATAAGGGTCAAGCTCAAATAAAAAAATATAAAGATTCTGCACCAAATGTTCAGTCCACGATTAACAAACAGTTGACAAATGTACAAGATAGTTATGATTCTTTACTCAATACGGCAGAGCAAATCAAAAATAGACTACTAGAGAGTTTGGCAAAATTTAAAGAATATGAAGATACTTTGGACTCAATCAGTAAGAATTTAGATGTGTTGGAGCCTCAAGTTTTGAAAGAAATAGACATTTCTGTAGATGATATCAAAAGTGCACAAACTCACCTCGACAATGCTAAAAACCTTGACAATAAACTTCAGCTTGAAAAAACACGTTTAGCGGGTGCCATACAAGCCTGTGAAGCTGCTTCCGCTTGTGTCTCTAGACCAAGTAGTCCCCTCGAAGCAGCTCCTCCGTCCACACCTGAAAAAGAATTACTTTTAAGAGCCCGATTGGAAGATTTAATCGATCATTTGGCATCACGATTAGTAAACCTTGAACAGATTATTGGAGATTTAGAAAAATGGAAAAAAGAAAGAGATGCTCTCTATAAATGGATAACTGAACAAAGTGTAGTTGTCAACGACTGGAAAAGTAAACCTGCCAAACTTCGATTAGAAAGTTCTAAGCAAGATTTAAATACTTTGAATAATCTTTCTTCTCAAATAGAAGCTAAGAGAAACAAAGCTTTGACGGAATTGCCATCTTTAAAAGACAACGAACCGGATATGGAAAAATTACTGAGTGATTTGCAAAAAGAATTAATGGTTGTAATTTCTGAAAAGGAAAGTGCTCAGAAAGTTACCGAAGGTTATCGAAAAAAATTAGCAGACGCTCACAAGTGGTTAGATTCAATTATTAAAAAATTAGAAGATGTTGAAAAAGGCAGTGGACCGCAATTAGATTGTTATCAAAAACTTGGTAATGTTCAGGAATTGACTAACAACATTAATACAAAAGGAAATGAAATGTTGGAAAATGTTAAAAAATTAGCAGATCAAGTCGCCAAATTGGTAAACAATTTAGATTCTCAACAAGTTGAAGAACAAATAAAATCTCTTGAGCGCAGACATAGTGACGTATTGAAGCGAATTCAAAGAAAAACTCAATCGTTAGAAGCTACCAAACAAGGAATGGAAGGTATAAAACAAGAGGTTCAACAAATAAGAGATTGGATAAAGTTAAAGGCAGATGATTTGAAAACTCCCAGCGTTCTCGGATATCAGTCCAAACCAATTAAGGATAAAATTCAAAATTTAAAAACATTAATGAAAGAAGTTGATGGTAAGCAAGTTGTGATAGACTTGTTGAAACAAAGATTAAATAATTTATCAAACGATCTTGAGCCTAAAGAAATTGCTCAATTAGAATCTGATTTAAAATCATTAACATCGGAGCAGAGCAATCTTGTCGCAAGTCTCAAGGGAGAATTGGATAAATTAGATAATGCCAAAAATGCCAGAGAAAAATTTGAAAATAATACAGATATTATTAATGACTGGTCTAAAAGTAAATCCGAACAAGTTAATAAATTGGGCTCTTACGTACCGCTAAAATCATCAGATATTCAACAGCAAGTTGTGGAATGCAAAGAATTAATAGGAGACATAAAGAAATTTGGAGAAACTGTTTTAGCCGATCAAGAAAAACTTGGAAACAGCTTCAATAAAGATTGTTCGGATGAGCAAAAGAAAAAATTGCAAAATGTTTTGAGCAACACTAAGAAAAATTACAATAACATTCTTAAAAAATGTGATGAAAAACTTGGAAAATACAATGAATTAATTGCCAATAGAAATCAGTTTGAAGACAAGCTTGGAAAGTGTGAAAAATGGCTCGAAGAAGCACAAATAGCTACGGCAAATCCAATAAGATCACCGAAAATGGCAGTTGTTGAAGAACAACTTAACACCTATAACAAGTTAAATACCGAAGCTAAAGATGTCGGAGATCAAATCGTGGAAGTATGCAAAGATGCCGATTTAATAATGTCAAAATTGAACGACGCAGATAAATTAATACTTCAAACTCAACTAAATACCGTGAAAGACAAACATGCGAGATTGCTCGGAATAATTAAGGATCGTATTAACTCGTCAAATGACATTTTGGAAAAACATAGGGATGCCGCAAGAAAAATTAAAGAAATTATGGAATTTATGGAAAAAATTCAAAATGCTATCAAGGAATTAAATAGGCCAGTTGGTGCAAAAGTCGAAGAAGTGCAAGCCATGCTTAATTCCTACGATAAAATTTTAAACGATTTAAAAGATCATAAACGAGAATTGGATAACTTGAAAGGAAAAGACGTTGCCGGCCTTGATAATGCCCTTACGCAGCATGATGGACTCGTAAAAACTGTCGAAGATCAAATTGCCAGATTGAGACAACTCTTACTTTTGCGTGAACAGTTTGGAGCTCTCATACAACAAATCAACACTTTTATTACAAAATACACAGACATTGTCAAAGATGTTGAAAAAGGAGATGACTCCGTTCAAGATAAAATAAAAAAATACGATGACATTATACACAAGATTCAAGAATGTGATGCTTTGTTAGCCCTTGCTACGGATAAAGGTCAGCAAATAGCTGCCGATGGTTCGACAAATGACAGAAACAGCATCACGGATATGTTGGGATCTTTGAAACAACAATTACAACAACTCAAAAGATCTGCAGAACGACAAAGAGAAATTCACGAAAAGTCATTGGCTGCTTTTGGTAAACTTGCTCAGGAATTAGACGACGTTTTAGATTCCTTAAACAACTTGGAAAGCGATGTTAAAGGAAGGCCATTGTTAAAAAGAGAACCTGAAAGTGTCGATGAAGAGGTTGAAAAACATAAGGTTTGTATATATTTAATATTTTTGTCTAATCTCTAATTTTTTCACCTATTAAAATATTATTAATTTTTTTTTTTGTTTTAAAGAAATTGGCAGCTACCGTACAAGATTGTCTTAATAGAATCGAAAAAGTTCAAAATAGCATCAAAGTGAATGAGGGATTGCCGGGTGCACTTTTGGAAAAGATTTCCGAAGGAAACGGCTTTTTGACTACGCTCCCTCCAGAACTTGATGATAGACTCAAATACTTAAATAATAATAAACAGTTAAGAATTGATTATCAAGGATTGAAAGACAAGTTTTACGATTGGACCAAAAACGCTGAGAAAAAAATTCAAAAGGGCAGTTCTGGAGTTGATTTTGATTCCGTTCAAAAAGATTTGGACAATCATAAAGTAATTTATATCAAATTTTTTTTTCATTTTTTATTCTCCGCGAAATTTATTTTAGAAAAAAAAGGGAACGCATAACTGTTCAGATTGTTTTTACTAATAAAATTTATAATTTTTTTTAGGATTTCTTCAGTTGTGAACCTGAAATATTAGACCTCGTTTCACAAATACAGAGTTCTGGAGATAATCTTTGGCCATCGCTCAGTCAAAATGAACAGGAAGAGTTGGGACGAGAACTTCAAGATGTCAATCAACATTTGAGAAACATACTCAACGTTGCCAAATCTAAACGGTAAATTTCATTTTTTTTTTTAAATTAATAAAACTTTTTACTCACTTTTACGCATAAATATGTAAATTTTCTACAGAGTCCAATTGGAATCTGATTGCGAACTTTGGAAAGAATATTTACAAAATCGTGATAAAATTTTATCAATTTTATCTCGATTGAAATTCGCGGACGAAGACATAAATAATTTAGCCGGGTTGCATAAAAATGTTCAGAAAATAACTCACGCGCTGAACGACATTAACAATCAATCTTCCGAATTGGAATTGCACAATGAAAAATCAAATGAAATAATTAAAAGAGCCGACAACAAGTCTAAAGATAAATTTAAAAAAGAAATGAAAGATTTAAATGATGAGTGGAAAAATACGATTAACGATTTGGAAAAACGTAGGGATACGTTAAATAACCTTGCTCAAAATTGGGAGCGTCTCGAAACACAAATTCAGAATTTCGAAAGCTTTTTAACGAAAGCTAATGAAAAAGTGAAGTTGCTGGATGTTGCGGTTCGTTCTAAATCTCAAGAAGACGAAGTCAGAAACACTTTAACCGTAAGTTCACTTTAAAATTTTAAAATAATGATAATAATAATAAGTCTACACTGGACATTTTTTATTTTTATTTTTTGTCAATTATAATTTTTAGGAAATAAAGACGTCGTTAGATACTCATAATGATGACATTAAAGAAATTGATTCTTCTTTCAAGCCAATTAAAACGTTTTTCGAAAGTAAAAATCCAGTTTTAATAAAAGACAATGAGAATTTAATTAAAACTCTAAAGGAAAAACATAAAAAGTAAGTTCGAATTAAATCCAACAAAAAAAATTTGATTAAAATTTAAAAAAAAAATGTAAAATAATTTTTTTTTTATCAGGTTGCAAGAAGATGTCAATAACAAATTGACAAAATTAAATGCGGAAAAAGAAAAGGTTGAAAAAATAAAAAATCAAATTCAAAATTACGTAAAAAAATTAAAGGAATTGGAAAAATCGGTGAGAGACTTGTACGTTTATGGCGAAGACCAAAAGAAAGCCGAAAAATCTGTGAATAAGTTAAAAGACGACATAAAGAAAGTTGTCGACGATTCAAAACAATTTTGCAACAATACCAAAGAAGAATATATAAAAACTCAACAGTTTATACCTTCGGACATTGCTCAAGAGGTAAAGAGGGATTGTCTCGGAAAATGTTTTGCCTTAATAATAACGGAAACTGATTAGAAATTTTTTTTTTGTTTTTCCGAGCAGATAACGGCTCTGGAATTGTATAGTGAATCAGTTAATGCAGCAGTAGATGAAAAATGCCGGGAACAACTCAGAGCTAAAAATATGAGATCGGATTTTGCCAATTGCGTCGACGAAGTTAAGAAATGGATAAGAAAATGCGAAACGGTGGCAAAAGACAAATCTTCAACTCCTCATGCTCACAAAGAAAAAATTCAAGTAATTAATAATTTTTTATTCTTTTTTTTTTTTTTTTTTTAAATAAATTATTTTTTAATTTCAATTTCTTCTTTTTTTATTAGGAAATTCAAGCCGACGTATTAAGCGTGACCGATCGTCTTCAAACGGCTAAAAAAATTGGTCAAACGATAACCGAATTAACAAAAGACAAAACAGAAGGGGATGTCGTGCAAAAAACATTGGAAACGCTTGAATCAGAGCTTAATCAAATGAAAACATTGTTGAATCAATTAAGACAAGAAATCGGAGACTCTCTCGATGCTTGGGAACGTTTCATGACTCTACACAAGCTAGTCATGGAATGGATAATCGAGAAGAGAGAATTTCTGCAAAAACCAATACACCTTGAAAACTTGCCAGAACTTAAACAAAAACTTGACGATTATTCGGTAGGGGGGATCCTTTTCGCCTTAAATAGGATCACAAAACTTTAAGTATTTTTCCTTTTAATGGTAATTTATTTTCGTTTTTTTTTTAGCTCGGAGTTAAATCTTGCAAAACGATGGGTAAAAACTTGAGCGAAATGAGTAAAGAATTAGAATTAATAAGAGCATCTTACGATGTTGCCGATTTACCAGATAAATTAACAAAAGCTGAAGAAAGCAAAGCTGAAATCGAAGGAGAAATGATGAAAAGGGTAAGTTTTTAAAAAACTTTTTAAAACTTTTTTTTTTTTTTTTTTTTTTTTTCGAAATTTTGAAAATAATTTAACACTTCATTTGTTTTTTTTTTTTTTTTTTTTTTTTTTGGGGGGGGGGTAACCATGATTTTTTTTTTTTCCAGAAAGAAAAAAAATTTAAAAGTTTTTGTTTTGAAAAAATTTTTTTAAATTGGGGCCTTTCTTACCGCCTTTTTTTTTTTTTTTTTTTTTTTTTTTTTTTTTTTTTTTTTTCTTCTTCTTCTTGTATACACACTTTAATGAAATGAAAGCATACAAAAAATAAAAACAATAGTAAACAATAAAAAAAAAAAAAAAAAAAAAAACTGGTTAAACGCACCCTATACTAATAATTCAGGTTTTCAGTAGTTTTTTTATCCCCATAACAAATGTCAACTAAAAAAATTTCGGTAAGTTGACATTGAAAAAATAGAAACATGTTGTTGTTGTTGTTGTTTGTTTGTTTGTTTGTTTGTTAGTTTATAACAAACAAAAGTTTTACGGAGTGTTTGTTTACATTTAAAATAACGCCACGTGCGTGTTGTTTTTATTTTATTTTTTTATAAAACGCAATACATTCACTGATTGATTCTTCAAGGAATGTATGTTGATATCTTCTTTGATTGATTGTTCTTTATTAATTTTTTTTTTTAACAGTGATGTGTAACACTTTGGTTGTTTTTTTTTTTACAGGGTTCCTAATAATTTTTCTGTTACGATTTGATGAATTGTTATTTTTGTAATTGTTGTTTTGACGAATTATTTTACTTAGTTAGTTTCTACTTGGTGTCTGTTTGTCATACATATCGAACTTCCAGGTCATTATTGAGTAGTTAGCGTTGTGTAAATCGATTTATGAGGTTTCTAATTGTTTTTTACGTATGAGTCATGCAAAACTTTTTCGGTTTTCCTTCTGATCGACAGTATTGTTTTTAATAATTTCGAAAAGAATTCACTTCATAGTTTTGACTATGCCATGATGAGTGATTTAAAATAAGTTTGGCCTTTGGGAAGTATTATTATTATCATCGTAGTTTTCTACCTCAATCCACCGATTTTTCTTTTTTTATGTATGATTTTGGTTAATCGAGTATTTTTGTCTAATTAACTGCTTCAAAATTATGTTACGTCATTTCTACAGACGCCATTTTAATAGCTTCTTATAGATTTTCTTTAATGACACAGTGTTGTAACGGTTTTCATGACTTTTAAATAGGACTATTAAATAATTATGATTAATTAGTTTATTAATAATAATTAAAATTTATGTTTTCACATAGAATGCTCTACTCTCTGAAACTAACGAAGAATGGGAACAGTGCGAGAAAAAAATGCGAGAGGTTAGATCATGGTTGGAAAAATCTCGTTCGTCGCTGGAATCGCCAACATTTAAGAAACGTCCAATCAGAGATCAGTTAGCGGCAAGGGAAAAAATGTTGGCGGATGTAACCATTCAAAAGAATAAAATTGCAGTTTCCGTTGAGAAATTGCAGGTACACTTCCGGTCAGGTATCGGCGGAGATAAAACCGTCGTTGGAGCTGCCAAAGACATAATAAAAGAATTGGATCAAATTTTAGACGCCGTGAAAGAGCAAGTCGCTAATTTGGAAAAATGTATTTCACAATTGGATAAATATCAACAGGTATACGTTGAAAATTTTCTTTTCTTTTTTTTTTTTTTTTTTTTAATTTTTATTTTGTTGTTGTTGTTGTTGTCGGTTGGAAAAATTAAAATTTTTTTTTGTCATTTTTTTTTATTTTTTTAAATAGGAAATACATTCTTTGAGACAAGAAATTGTTTCAACGGAGCAAAAACTTAGAACTGTTTTGGATCCATCATTTTTAGCACAACATCCGGAAAAAGCGCGACTGGAAGAACAGGTAAGACAAATTTTTATCACCTCATACTACTATATATATACTTAGTTTTTTTTTTTTTGTCGTTGTCTAAAAAATTAATACTTGTTGTATTTTTATTTTTTGCAATTTTTTATTATTATTATTATTATTTTAAAAATCACGAAATACCAACTTAAAAAAAATTAAAACCCCGTCAGTTTTTCCCCTAGGATTCGATCGCGTCCAATCAAAAAAAAAAAAAAAAGAATTTTCAATAAACGGTTCGTCTTTGTTCACTTCTTCTTCTTATTATTATTATTATTTTCTTACCATTACTTTCTTTTATTTTTTACAGGTAAATTTTCTTTTTTTTTTTTTTTTTTTTTTATCTTTTTCTTCTTCTTTTATTTATCATATCGAATTATTTTCATCCTTTTTTTTTTTTTTTAATTTATTGTCCTTTGTTTTTTTGTTTTTATTTTTTTTTTTGTTACACGTACGTGGCTTCTTTTTATCCCCCTCCCCCCCCCATTCCCCCCTTAAATGTTTTATTATGTCAATTTTGTTGTCATGATTTTATCGTCGAAGAAAAATTTATATTATTTCTAATTTATTGAGGGGAAAATATTTTATTTAAAAAAAAGGCAAAAAAAAATAGAATTAAATGAAAATGAAAATGAAAATTTTATCTGGCACACGTGTTTTATGCATCATTAAAACTACAAAAAAAAAAAAAAGTTTTTAGTAATTTATTTGTTATACGAATGAGATATATATTTATTTATAGAACGTATATAATAATAAAATTCACTGATCAGTGCCAATAATTTGCCGTAGTCTCCGTTCCGACACAACAACAATAAAAAAAAATTTTTTTAAAATTTTTTTTAGTTTTTTTTTTGCGTTTTCAAACCGCGGTTCTTCTTCTTCTTTATAATATCAAAAGTAAAATTTTATTTAATTTTTATATTTTATCTTATATATATATATATTATAATTACGGGAAAAGTTTTATATTATAAATATTTATCTTTTAGTAATAGTATTAGTAGTTGTAGTAATAAAAAAAAAACTCAGAGCATTTTTTTTTTTTTTTAATTATTTTTGGTGATGGGAAACAGTGATGTGAAACATTTTTTTTTTCTCTCAAATGTTTGCTTATTTCACGAAAAGAACAAAAAAAAGAAAAAAGGGAGAGGGAGGGAGGGAGGGAGGGATGGGGAGAAAAGGAAAAGAAAAAAAAATTGCAAAAAAAAATTGTTTCTAATACACAAAACGAAATAATTATATTTAAAATTAACAAAAACAAACCAAAAAAAAAAATTAATTTTTTACTTTTCACAAAAAAAATTTCATGAAATGTGTATGGACGGTTGTGTGAGTGCGTACGTGCGTAAAAATATGCGTGCGTGCACGTCCATACATTTTTTCTTTTTTTTTTTTTTTCGTGTAATCACTAATAACACGTATTACTAACCCGGCTAAAATTTATGTATTCACAAAATATAAAATGGTGGTTTTGCTGCTGCTAATGATGATAATAATATTAATAAACATTATGTATTTAATCGAGATTGACTAATTTAAAAAAAAAAAAAATTATTTTTGTTGCTTCTATTATTTCTCTTATGCGCTTTTTCTTTTTTCTTTTCTTTCGTGTGAATTTTTTTTTTATGCTTTTTTTGATTTGATTTTTTTTTTTCTTTTTTTTTTTTTGTTCGATTTTGATTTTGAAAATTTTATTATTATTATTATTTTATTTTATTCATTTGAATAAATCAAACGTGAAACGACAAAAATAATAATAGTTTTTATTATTATTATTATTATTATTATGTATTTTTAACTTCACGATGCTCTCATTTTAAATGTTGATCATTAGTCATAAGTAAAATTTAAAAAAAAATTTTTTTTTTATTTTTAACTTTTATTTTTTTTTTTTATTTTTATAAATTCGCGTTTTTTCTTAAAAAAACAAATTATTATTATTATTATTTATTTATTTAATTTTAATGGAAAATCGAAATAATAAATTACTTATTCAAAATCAAAAATCAAAAAAAAAAAAAGGAAGAAAAAAAATTTAAAAGGAGTTGGTTTATGTCGGGAATAAGTTTTGACATGAGGAATATTTTTTTTTTTTTTCTTGTCTTTTTTTTTTTCTCCCCCCCCCCCTCTACTTTCCTAATCTTAACCTGAACCTTATGGATCCTCCTTTTCAACCTCATTGTATCAATTCCCTTTTAATTAAATATCCCCATCACAATCGTAGGCTCTTCGGGAGCAGTTGAAGGTTCTGCAATCCAAGATGACGTCCGGAACGGAAAGGGTTAAACAGCTTATATCAAGGGGAACACCTGATTCGGAATCATAAAAATAATAATAATATTATCATTAGTTATATTAATATCATTAGCTTTTATTTATTTATTTATTTTTTTAAATTTAACTTATTTTTTTCGCTTTGGATTTATTTATTTATTTATTTTCTATTTCTTTTTCTTTCTTTCTCTTTCTCTCTTTCACTCACTTACTCACTCTCTGTCGATTACAAAGAAAAAAAACAATATGATAGATATTTATAAAAATTAATTATTTATTTATTTATATATATGAGACAAAAATATAGAAATTTTTTTTTGTTGGATTTTATTAATTTTAAAAGGTCTAAGAAAAAAAAATTATTTATTTATTTATTTATTTATTATTTTCCTAAATTTAAGTTATTACCTTTTTAGAAAAAAGAAAATGAGCAAATTCGATTTATCATTTATATTTGTGGAAATATATAATATATATATATTTAATTAAAACTAATTTATGGGTATTTGGTTCTTTTTACTAATAATATATATAATAAATTAATACTAAATTATTTATTTATTATTATTAATTGGGTTTATAGAGCTTATTATACACAACAATATAAATTTGCACATTTAAATAAAAAAAAAAAATTGTTGTTGTTTAATGCGTTTAATTATATTAGAATAGTTTTTAGATATTATTATTATTATTATTAATAAATTTTTTTTTAAAAAAATTTTAGGAATTAAGAAAAAAAAAAGTTTTTTTTTTTTTTTTTTTTTTTTTTTATATATAAATTATTTTAAATTTTAATTTATGGGGTAAATGCAATCAAAAACAAAATGAGGACATCCACGCATTCTCAGACGTGAGCCAACCCTAGATTTTATATTTTTAATAATTAACTAATTACAAATTCTGGATTTAAATTTAAAAAAAAAAAATTATTTTATACATGCAACTATAAAACAAAAAAAAAGATTTTTTTTTTTTTAAAATTAATAACAGTTTGATTTTATATACGACCAAATTCTTCATCCATTTTGGTTTTTTTTTTTTTTATTTAAAAATAATTAAAATGCACTTGTGAATACATCATCTAAAAATAAATTTCGATTGTGTCAGTCAGAGTCGGGTTATAAACGTATTATTATTATTATTATTTTTTACAAACGAAAAAAGAGAAAAGTAAAAATATTTTTTTTTTTTTTTTATGATGTAATAATTATTTCGTTTCGTTAATTTTCTTTTCTCTCTCTTTCTCTCTCCTTAATTAGAATGCTCTGTGTTTTGAAAAAAAAATTTTTTTTTTTTTTTTCTCTTTTATGATGGTTATTTTGTTGTTCATTTTATGTACGTGTAGGAAATTCATAACGAAGTGAAAAATAAACGCGAAAAAGTACAAAAATTGATTCAACATTTGAGAGAAATAGATCCTTATTCAAAGGAATCCTTTGAATTTGCAATCATGCCTCGTAAAAATCAACAATCGAATAAAGAGAAAAAATCAGAACAAGTTGATTCTTGTAATAAAAATTCACAATCGATTGAATCGTCAATTGTAACTAAAATCACTTCTCACGTTGAAGAAAAACCTCAAAATGAAAAAAATGTTTGCCGAAAGGTATCTGCAGTTTTTGAAAATGTTCAATTTGGTGATAATAATTCTCTTCAGGATGTAAAAGAACAAAAAATTAACGAGTCTGGGAAAAGTGTTACGGATGAACCTGTACAAAAGAAAACAATTATTAAGAGTACACTCTTTACTGATAAACCTGATGAAAATCCGACATCGATAACATCAAAAACAAATAAATTGTCTGAAATTGTGATTGTGAAACCGGAAGAAAATTTTATTAACATGGAAAAAGAAATCAGTATGAAGCAACAACAACCGCCTGTCTTCACGAAAGATTTACAAAAATCAAATGAAATGAAAAATCTCAACGATGACGTCAAGTCGCCTGAAAATGATAAAAAAACAGGAATAAGTCAAAAGGAAAAAGAAGAGTCCAAAACAGAGAACGTTTCAAAACCTTCAAAAGAAGATCGAAAGGAAGACAAAGATAAGGGAAAAAGTAACGACGAGAAAAAAATAGAAGATAAAAATGATGGGGATTCATCTAAAACAGTTCAACCGGAAAAATCACCGGATAAAAAACAATCGAACGATAAAATAAATAAGAATAAAAATGTTCCGAAGAAAGGTGATGATGAGTCTAAGAAAACGAGTCAAAAAATTAAAGAAACCGAAATCGATAAAGTGAAACCTGAAAATTCTGAAAAAGAAAAAACTCATTCTCAAAAAGATATTTTGACGGAGAAGCTTGAGGAAAAACCCGAGGAAAAAACTGCGGAACAAAAAATTGAAAATGTCAAAACGAATTCAAAAATCGAAAAAAAAGAAAAATCAGAACCTAAATCTAAAAATAATAATATTCAAGAAGGTAATAATGATGTCAATCAGATGCGTACAAATCATCCAGACCATCAAGAAAAGGCTAAAACGAAAGGTAAAAATGCCAAAAAATCTACTTCCGAAGGAAATGACAAGTTAATACCTCCAGAAAATATTAATCCGAAAGATTCAGTTGCCGAGATAACCACGTCAGACAGCGATAAGGCAAAAGACAAATCGGTAAAAAATTTACCCAACGGTAAAAAGAATTCAGATAAAAAACAAGATAATGATAACTCGGTGAATGTTCAACAGGGTGATAAAAATAAAAAGTCTAAGAAAGAAAATTCTCAAGGATTAGCAGTGACTCAAAATATTGGAAAAGGTGATGTGAAAGTAAACAAAGACGTATCGAACAACGAATTAAACGCAACAGAAAATAAAAAACCGAGTGAACCCAATATGCCGTCGATTGAAAAGATGGAAACAACAAAAAAGAAAAAAGAAAAGAAAAATAAAATGCAAGATGATAAATCTAAATCAAATGACGTGATTGTAAATAATCTCTCACAGGTTAAACCGAAAGAGAAAATAAAAAATGATTCTTCTGACAAAGGAGATGAAAATAAAAAAGGAAATAAAAATGATTCAACTGATAAGAATAAAAAAGTGCCAGAAATTAAAACCAGTGAAAAAATTAAAAACGAACAAAATAAAATGAATAACGTCGTGAGTTCTGATAATTCTCAAAAGGCTCGATCTGATAGCAAAAACGGTGAGCCGATTAAAGAAGAACAAGGGGAAACTAAAAAATCTAGAAGGCACAAGAAAAAACAAAGAAAACACTCTGAATCAACCGTTACGGACGTTTCTACTGAAAAAACAGAAAACATTAAGGAAAGCAACAAAAAAGAAGAAGTAACTAAACAACAAAATGAGGAACCGCAAAAGAGTGAAAAAGACGCGACTCCAAAAGTTATGATCAATGACAGCGTGAACCTAATGCCTGAAAATAAAATTCCACATGAGCGAACTACGTCACGTAAAAAGGAAAAGACAAGAGTCAAAAATTCTGATATAAAATCCAGCGGTTCCTTTTTAACCGTTAATTACGGAACTGAAAAATCAAGGTCGCGTTCCCGCTCAAGGTCTACCAATATAATAAAAGTATCCGTGAGGGGTGATTTGATTCCACAAGCGGAACTTGATAAAATCGAACAGAAATCGGAAGAAAGAAAATCGAAAGCAATGAAAAAAGAAGAAGAAAAAAAGAATAAAAAGAAATTGAAAAAATTACAGTCGGAAAATGCGGTCATCGATGATGTTATAGTAGAAGATGAAAATGATAAAAAGAAAATTATTCAAGATGATAAAACGTTGGAAAAAACAAAATTAAAAAGCAAAGAAAATAAAATGGACGAAAAGAAACCGAATAGTGAAAACGATTTAAAATCAACCGAAGGAAAAGGTTCTGATAAAAATAAAAAAGAACCGGAAAAAGATGTTCCAAGTTTGACGAAAACAACGCAAGTAAAAGTTGAAACTGATCAGAAAACCGATAATAATAATGATAAAGTTATCATAAAAACGCTCGAGGAAAATGATTCTTCTAAGAAAAAGGAAACAAATCAATCGAAAATCGAAACCCCAATTCCTTCGAGTGACGCAATTTTAATAAAAACTAATGAAAAAAATAAGGGAAAAAATGTTGGCGAGACAATTGATAAAAATGAAAAGAATGATAAGGACGCACAAAAATCAAACGTAAAAACAGAAAAGTCTGACAAAGACAAAACTAAAGAGTTAAATTTGCAAAAAGAAGAAATCACAACTGCTAAATCTCCCTCTACCATGCCAAAACAAGAAAAAAATGAATTAACAAAAAAGGTTGATGATAAAGAACAGGTCAAAGGTCAAAATGTGGACATTAATAAACCTGAAAGTGGTGAAAAAGATAATTTGAGCGAAAGTAAATTTGATAAGGATAATACTCCGTCGAAAATTAAATCAGAACCGAGATTTTCTACAGGAGATGGAAAATCCGATAATGTAAGTCAAGTAGGAGAAGGAAAACAAAAGGAACAGGAAAATGAGAAAAACGAAACGAAAAAATCTAAGAAAAATAAAAAAGAAAAACAAAGTGATAATAAACCCACAGTAGATGCAACACCTGCTGAAAAAGAAAATAATAATTCGTTGGGAAAAAATGAACCGATCGAATCTGGAGAATTGGCGAAAAACGTTATCGATCCTCAAAATGTTAAACCGTCGGATAACCAAAAGGAAAAGAAAATCAACATCACAACAGAATTATTTAAAGAACATGAATCCGTTAAATCCGAACAAGAGCGTCCTGCCACTACCGAAACTAAAGATAAAATTGTTGACCTCAACAAGGATGTTGCTCCAGAAAAACTAAAAAATAAAAGTCAAAAAGATAAATCTCACGAAAGTGTTTTGGATTTTATATCAAATGAAAAAGAAAAAATAATGAAAGAAAATTTACCCGTTGCAAAAAGTAACGAAAATGTAATTACAATGAAATCAAATGAAAAAGAAACGAAAAAGAACGAACGCCATGATGTAAAATTAGAAAAGGAAAAAGAAAAAATAAATGATGAGTCGAACATGAGTAAAAATGACAAGAGCGAATTATCGAAATCAAATGAAAATGTGACAAGTACTGATAAAAAAGAAAACGTTCCTGTTTCTGTTGATAAGTCTGATGAAACAATTGGTAAAAAATCAAATTTAAAAGCATCCGATGATAAGAACAAAGTTCGAGAACATGATGCCGAAAAAACAAAAACCGCTTCGGAAAAGAAAAAAGAAGCAGAAAATATAAAAACACCAGAATTAGGTAAAATTGATAAAGTTGATACAAGTGAAAAAAAACCGTTGAAAGAAAAAGATGGTGGTGATGAAACGCCGGGAAAAAATCTCTCGGACGAAAAAGCAGAAAAAATTAATAATGTTGTGCAAGATAAGAAGGAAGAAAAGTCAGGAGAAAAATCTCATGTAGAACCTAAAAAGTTACCGTCGAAGGAAAAAGAACAAAATTTACATGAATCAATGGAGAAGAATGAAAAACTTAAAAAATCATCAAATAATAATAATAATAAAGAAGTAAAATCGTCACCGGAAGTGACTACTGTAGAACCACAAAAGAAATCGTTTAGCGAAGAAGAAAAATTATTGAAGGCAAATGAAAAGAATGAAAAACCGACGAATGTAATTCAAAATACAAAACCGGAAAAAATTCAGGAACAAAAAGAAAAAGTTTTGGAATCTCCAAAACAAGAGAGTCAATCATTTATAAAATCAGAAATAAACGAAAGAGAAAAAATGGCGGAAAATAACAATAAAGAAGAATGTAAAACTACTTCAAATGAAAAAATGTTAGATGTTAAAAACAAAGAGAAAAAAGATGAAACGAATAAAGAAAAAGAATCGACGAAAGTTGTAGAGCAAATACAAAAACCTAAAGAACAAAAAAATAATTTGAATAATAAAGAAAAATTAAAAGAACCAGAAAAAAAAACAGAACAGAAAACTAAAAAATCTGATGTCACGGTACCTGAAAAACAACCGGATAAAAAACCTGAAAAACTTCCGTCGGAAACAGTACCTGAAAAACAACCGGATAAAAAACCTGAAAAAATTCCGTCAGAAACAGTACCTGCAAAACAATCGGATAAAAAACCTGAGAAACTTCCGTCGGAAACAGTATCTGAAAAACAATCGGATAAAAAACCTGAGAAACTTCCGTCGGAAACAGTACTTGAAAAACTTCCGTTGGAAACAGTACCTGAAAAACAATCGGATAAAAAACCTGAGAAACTTCCGTCGGAAACAGTACCTGCAAAACAATCGGATAAAAAACCTTCGAGTGAGAATTTGGAAAATGCAAAAGACAAAAAAGTAAAATCACCGAAAATCGAATCGGACGATAAAGTAGTACCACCAAATTTAGTTGAAAAGTCTAACGTTCCTCCTCAAAATAATAATGATAATAAGACAATGAGTGATAAGACAATGGCGAAAGAAATGAAACCTCTTGATAAAGATTCTAAAGATTCTGAAGTGATGATTCCTGTCAAGAGCATCGAGGAAATATCAAAATCAGATAAAGTAAAGGATAAAAAACCTTCGGATGAGCCGAAAATCCCGATTTCCGATACTAAAAGTAAAAGTGACGTAAAAGAAGAAAAAGGGGATGATAAAAATGACGAGAAGAAAGATTTTTCAAAACTTCATAAAAATTCGTCTGCTGAATTTTACGAAGAATTAAAAGTTTCACCGGAAATAAAATGGACGCAAAGTGAAAAAGCATTGACTGTTCGAAATATCGTTAATAAAATTAACATAATTAAAACCGAGGAAAAGGATGGTAAACAACCACCGAAACCGGATGCTAAAGAAAGTGGAGTTATTTCTAAAAAAGTTTCAGAAAAAATTATCGATTCCACTACGTCGGAAAATAATTTAACGAAAAGTTCCGAGACTGAATTAGATCAAGTGCAGCAGCAACAGGATAAAAAAGATGAAAATTCCGGTGCGGTTGATGAAAAGCCGGTCGGTTCTGTAGAACCGATAGAAAGACGAATTTCCGTTTCGGAAATGATAAAAAAATTAGAAACGGATAAAGGAAGTGGTAACGCTCAAGGTCAAGAAAAACCAGGGGATGGTGAAATTGCCGTCGATGTTATTTTTGGTTCCGTTAAGGAAAGACATCGAGGTACGAGGAAAACAATAGATTTGAAACCTACCGACGGAGATAATTCTCAAATGAAAATTGATGATGCCGATATTGAAAATCAATTGAAATCTAATAATTTAGAATTTGATTCGGAATTATATTCAAAAATTTGGCCCGAATACGTATTATATAAAGATCATGAAAGAATATGGGAGGAACGTAAAGCGTCGTCTGCTAAAACAAAAGACCAAAAACCAGATGATGAAGGAGGAAAAGAAAAAATTGAACCGCCTTCAACTCCTCCCACAAAAACGCTACTCCCCAATAATGACACAAAAAATTTAAAACCGTCGACCGTTGAATTAAGTTTGGAAAAACCAAAAGTTCAACCGATTCCAACTATTGAGTTGTCAAGCGATGCTCCTGTTATTAAGGTCGATGAAGTCTTTTTAGAAAAAACTGAGAAGGTAGAAGAAACGACGCAGCCGCTGTTGGATGTACCAAATCGTAGACGAGGACGATCGCGTTCTCGATCAAAATCCAGAACGAAAAATGAACAAAATTCACTGTCGACATTAGCGCCAGATTCCCGAAGGAGTCGTTCTAGATCGAGGTCACGAAGTGACATTATTAAAGTTTCCGTCAGAGGTGATTTGATTCCGATGGAAGAAATAATGAAAATTGAAGAAAAAGATAGAATCAAAGCGGAAAAGAGAAAAAGAGAAAAACAACAGAAATTAGAAGAAAAAGAAAAGAAAAATATGGCGGCCGACGATGGCGTATCATCAAATCAAAAGGCTCAACCTGAAAAAAATGTTAAACAAATGCAAAATCCTGTATCGAGCAGTTTAAAAATAGATAATAAAACTCAGGAAAATTTAAAACCTGAAAATGTTGATGATAAGTTAAAATTTTCCGAAGATAAACCATCATTAGAGAAAGAGATGAAAAAATCAGAGAAAAAAACAAATGATATCACTCAACCCAAAAACTCAGAGTCTGTTAGTAAAGATACAAAGTCGATGACACCGTTGCTGTCAGTGCAGCCTCCCGAAAAAGAATCAATCAAAGATAAGGAAAATTTAAAAGAAAATGATTCTCGAGGTTCCCGTGAAAATGTTTCCGGTAAAAAATGCGATGATGAAAAATCTAAAAAAATCTCACCCGTCGAACTTGACAAGAAAAAAATTTCATCCGATAAAAATGTTGATGGTTCGAATGTTGAAACAAATGTGGCGAAGAAAGAAAATGATTCGTTGGTATCAAAAAATACCGGAAATGATTCTCCGAAAGCGGAAAAAGTCGAATTACCGGTTTCGAAAGAACCTAATAAACAAAAAGACTCCGATTGTAAGAAAAGCGAAAATGTTTTACAAGTCGTCACATCGGGCAAACAACCGACTGACGACGCCATTGATAAAAAATCAGATGATGTTCATCAAGATTTACAATCGCCTCCTCGTAAGAATCAACATTGGGTGACTGCACTGTCTTCGAATTTAATTCTTGATGAAAGTTTTTGGCCTAATAAATGGCAATACGATGATGCAGAAAATTATCACAGAGTATTACGAGAAAAGAAAAAACAATCGGTCGAAGTAGAAAAAATCAATAAAAAAGATGATGATGATAAAGATAAAGATAAAGATAAAGATAAAGACAAAGATAAAAATAAAGATATTGATAAGAGTAAAAATGATAAACAAGATTTCCTCGGTAAAAAATCTTCTTCTCCCGAGGAAAAACGCGATACGCCGAAAGATTCAAACGTTCAAAAATTTAGTCATCCCCTTCCTGGAGGTTTAGGTTCTTGGTCTTCCGAAACAACGTACCTATCGAAAAATCCACAATTAACAAACGTATCAACACGAAATGATAAATCGAATTTGCTCGATAAAAAAAAAAAAAATAAACAATTGTCAAGGGAAGAAGAGTTAAACGATTCCGTTAAATATACACGATTCAAAGAAACATCGGAAGGGAGCACTCTTGCCACCGTTGCTAAGGTTGGAGCCGTGTGCATAATTGGAGCTTCTTTGTGGATGGTTTTTGGCAAATTAAGAACCGCTTTATAAAACTGCTGCATCATTTGCATGTTGTTCCTGCTGCTTGCCTGTTAATACCGAGCTTAATAATGATTTCGAGCTTCTTTTTCTCTTTTTGTTTGTTTTTTTGTTTGTTTGTTTGTTTGTTTGTGTATACAGCAATAGATGTGTGAAAACATTCGAAAACACAGGCCCTTTCATCATCTAAAAAAAAAAAAAAAATGATAACAAATAAAAAAGAAAGAAAGAAAGAAAACAATATTATTTTTACTATATCGTTTCGATTTTAAATAATATTAATAATAATAATAATAATAATAATAATAATAATAATAATAATAAAACAACCCTTTATTTAAAAATGTTATGTTTATATTATGTTTTGCCAATGTTTTTTTTTTCTCTCTCTCTCTCTCTCTCACTCTTCTTCAGGTTGTTGACATTTTGTGTTTTTTTTTTTAAAAAATTCTATTTTTCTCTATATAAATACAATTTTTTTTTTCTTCATTTTTTTTTTTTTATTTATAATAATTATATAAAATGAAATTTAGTTTATTTTTATTATTATTATTATTCGCAGTAGAAATACAAATTCGATTCCAGTATTTAAACCCGAATTTGCTGGAATGTATACTCTAATGGAATTTTGGATTGTTCAAAGCATTTTTATTATTATTATTTTTTTTTAAAAAAAAAACAATATGTGAGGAGTGCCGTGCGATAGATAGAATCATTATTATTATTATTATTGTTAATTATTATTATTATTATTATTATTATTATTAGAAATAATTCATTTCAATGATTGAGTAATGAAATAAATTGCATATTTCATTTTTATATTGTTTTATTTTTAGTTTTTATTTTTTTTTCTTTATGCGACATTTTTTTTCGAAAAAAAATAAGAAATTTTTTTTTTATTACTAATAATAATTTTTGTTTTGTTTTATGTTTTTTTTTATGTTTTGTGTTGTGTTTTGATGGTTTTTTTTTTTTTTTTCCTAAAGAAAAAAAGAAAACTTTTTGTGGTTCTAATTTACAAAAAAAAAAAAAAAAAAAATTTTTTTTTTCTTTTACTTTTTATTAATTATAGAAATAGTTTTTTTTTTTTTTTAAATTAATATTATTATTATTATTATTAATATTATTAATTTTCCGATTTTCGTTTACTTCATACTAATGTTTTTTCTTTTTTTTTTTATTAATTCATGTTTTTGCAAAATGATTTGTTTTGTTTTTTATTTAACTTTTTGTTATTTGTCAGTTTTTATTAATATTTATATAATATTAATATTATATATATATATATATTATAATATATATTACTTATAGGGAGAATTTATTCTCGTGAAACTTGCCGTGGAAGAAATAGAAAAATTATTGAAAGAAATTCCGGCGAAAGATTTGAATACGATGGAATCCACACTCAAGGTAATAATAATAATAATAATTCATAAATAATTTTGGAAAAACTAATTAATTAATTAATGTATATCTATATTTATTTTATTTAAAGAATTCAACTTCTGAACTTAAAGAAAAGCTTAAAATTGTCAACGATATTGAAAAAAAATTAAAAGATGATAAAGAAGACACGCGGGAAGCATTAACGGAATTAAATAAAGTCAGAGTGAGAATAATTTGGCTCATAGAACAAGTGGAAATCGGCGAAAGAAGAATCAAATCAGCCAAAGGTACGAGAGACAAACAATTTTTGGAAATGGAAAAACTTCAATCGCTCCTCGACGATTTAGAAAAATGGATACAGGATGAGAGAAAAGTAATTAAAATTCGCGTTAATACGAACGACGAATCGGAAATAAATAAATTAAATGATGATTTGAAGGTGAGAAAAGTGAAAATTTTTTCCCGGACCGAAGAAGGGGATGAATTTTCATTTAAAATTTTTATAAATAAAAATGAATTGATTATTTCCCTGTTATTATTATTATTATTATTATTTTCTTTCGTAGAAATCGATGGTTGAATTGAAAAATAAATCCCAAGATTTATTACCGGTATCTAAAAAATTAGACGAATTTGATAAGGATGTTGATTTAATGTCCATTTCATCGGCGGTTAAACCCCGATTGTCATCATTACAAAAAGAATTGGAAACGTTGGAAAAATTATTAAGGGATCGCATAAATGAGGTTCAGGTTCGTTGTAAAACAAAAAAATCAAAATTTTATTTTTCACGTTGCTTTCCACGTAATTCCTTTCCCCGAGAATTCTCTCCGATGCTTTTCCTAAATAATTTTGGGTGAGCGGATCACGTGGGTTCCCACGCATTACCTATTATTATTATTATTTTTTTTTTAAAAAATTAAAAAATAGGTTTTTGATGGCGGTGGTGATGTTTTTAAATGCAATTTTTTTTTTTTTTGTATGCGTAAGTATAATAATAATAATATTTTTTTTTTCAAACTGGTGGTAGTATTATAATAATTTATTTTTCAGTATACACGTTATTGGTTATATTACATTATAAAATGGTGGTGGCTTCTCTATCATAATAATAATTATTCTTATTTATTTTTATTGTTTTTTTTTGTTTTTTTTTTTTTTTTTTTGGTGTGTGTAATGAAAATATTGGTCAATTTATTAAAGGAAACAATCATAATTAAATTTATTTTATGCATATATTTTTTTCTCCCTTAGTTTTTAATTTATTTTTTATACATAACATATATGTTAGTGCATAACTCCCGATTTAAGTTATTATTATTATTATTTATTATTGAAATTTTTTCAAGTCAGATATCATTTTTATTATTATTATTTTCAGGGTGAAATTGTATTATTATTATTATTATTTTTTTGTTAATGCTTATTATAATGCACTGCTTTTGTAATATTTATGGTTTTTAAGGGGAATAATTTTTTTTTTTTTTTTTTAATTATTTATTTATTTTTTAAAATCACTTATTCACATTTTATTTTTAATATAACGAAAATAAATAAAGAAAAAAAAATCACAGGTAAGGATATTGAATAATAATAATAATTATTATTTTTAATAATACGTTGATAAATATAAACGGGAGATAATTTTCATTTAACACATTTAATTATGGGATTCTTTTTTAAAATGTCGATTATATTTAAAAGGGGATTTTTTTTTTTTATTCCTATGCATATCAATAATTTATTTTTAAATCAATTTAGGCCCTTTTTCTACTAATTAGTTATTATTTTATAGATATAAATATTAAGTTGTCTTAACGATGCAAAATTTTCCTAATTAAACCTCAAGTTAAATTCAATATTAACAAAAGTTTCTTATTTCATTTACATTCTATGCCATTTATTAAAAATAAATAATTTAAAATATTTGTTATGAAAAATATATGCTTGCAAATACTACATCTTTATGTTAGTTTTTAATAGATTATAAAAAAAGTTAAATTGTCTAGGTTTTTGATAGGTATAACTGTCTATAAATAGTAAAATAAAAATAGGTTTTTTTTTTTTTTTTTTTTTTTTTTTTTTAGGGGTTATTTATTCTTTATTTTTTTGTATAAAAATTTAAGAATAGGTTTTTCAAAAGATTTAATAAAATAACGAATCGAATGAATAACACAATATATTTAATAATGTTGTTTGTTGCCTTTGAAAAAATGCCAACAAAAATTTTTAAACGAATAGATTCAAAATAATTTTTTTTTAAATTTTGTGCCAAAAAAAATTTTAAAAACATTTTACGCAAAAACATGCGATTTAAAAAAAAAAAAAATTTTTTTTACACAATACCTAAATTTGAAATAATAATTTATTAGTTTAATATTTATGGTAATATTTTGACTACCAGTAATAACGAATTCGTGTCAATGCACATTTTAATATCATTTTTTTTTTTTTTTTTGTTAATTTTTGTATTATTAATTTTATATTATATAAGTACTATTTTCTTTGCGTAGGACACTCTGAAATCGATGAATGATAATAAAAAAATAAAAGTGAACAAGACTGTCATCGATACACCGAGTAAGAAAATTGTTCAACCCGTATCGGCATCTGAATTATCAAAACCACCACAGGTTGTAGAAGAAAAAAAGGACAAAGTGGTAAATTTACCAGGATCAGGCGACAAAGAATGCACGGTTAGCCAAACATCTATTTCCCACAGCACTGAATTTATTGATCCTTTTAGCAATGAGCAGTCAATTTTAGTAATGCAAAGTCACAAAAATTCCCAAAAGCCAAAATGGGAGGACAACTATTTTGACAATAATCCTGACAGTGTATATTCTGCTGAACAAGTTTCCCAAAAAGTTATTGATTACTTAGAAATTGATAAACCTGACGATCCTACTATTAAGACAAGAGCGTCCCCCGTGCCAAAAGGAAATTTCAGCAGTCCAAGATATGAATATTATGAAGAAATAAAATTTAGAAATTCTGCAGAAACGACGAATACAGATAATTATTACAAAAATACAGAAGGACAATCACTGAATTATCATCCGGTTGAATTTAAAGACCATGAAAAATTAATTGACAATTACACTCTAAAACAAATTTCAAGTTCACACAATGTCAAAGAATTTAGATACGTAAGATTTCCTTCAGAAGAAAAACAGCAACAATTTCTTCAAACTTTCGAAAAAAATACTGAAGTTATGCAACCGCAAAGAAAAGTTAAAAAAATTGTAATTATAGACGGAGTTGAAACTGTTGTTGAAGACAATTTACAAAATGTAGATGAAAAATATACAACTACGCATGGAAAACCAAAAATAAATGATATTCAGAAACCTTCAGTTATATCTCCTGAAAAAGAAGAAACTAAAATATCTCCTACACATGAACTTTTACCAACAATATTTACCCCATCGTTTTCAACAACTATCAAAAATCAACAACCTGCGTCAATTCAAAAATCCAACTTGCGTCCAGAAGCAAAAGAATTCACTCCTAGCTCTTTTACAGAGGAACCCGTGTCAAAAACAAAACACATACATTCGAAACCAGATAATTATAACATAAAAACAAAATCAATGAAATACGGTTTCATACCAAGAGAAAGCATAATGGATGATTTAATAAAAACATCCGAAGAATGGCCCCAACCGGAAAAAAATAAACAACCTACAAAATTACCAAAAACATTTATAACCGAAAACATTGAAAAAAATAAAACCAAAAACAACACAAAGAAGAAAAAAACGAAAAAAAAATCAGAAGAAGAACACCACGATACGGATGAATCCTCAAACGATGAACCAGATGATAAACACAAACCAGAAGATAAACTCAAACCGAAAGACAAACACAAACCGGATGACAAGCAGAAGCCGGATGAAAAAGTCAAACCTGACGATAAACGCAAACCGGATGATAAACACAAACCAGATGATAAACACAAACCTGACGAAAAAGTCAAACCAGACAAAAAAATCAAACCCGACGACAAACACAAACCGGAAGACAAACACAAACCGGAAAATAAACACAAACCGGATGACAAGCAGAAGCCGGATGAAAAAGTCAAACCTGTCGATTCGACCAAGGATTACATTTTCGTCAAGGATAAGAAGGAGAAGCCGCCGAAATACGCTGATCTATATGAAAAAGCTAAACCGGATGACAAAGACAAACCTGACGAAAAAGTCAAACCCGATGACAAACACAAACCGGATGATAAACACAAACCTGACGAAAAACACAAGCCAGATGATAAACATAAACCTGACGAAAAAGTCAAACCCGATGATAAACACAAACCGGAAGACAAACACAAACCGGATGACAAACACAAACCCGTTGAGTCGTCTAAGGATTACATTTACGTTCCTGATAAAAAAGAGAAATCACCGAAGTTCGATAAACCTGATGATAAGAAACACAAACCGCAAAAACCGAAGAAAGGCGACAAAGATCAGCCTTTGGAAGACCTCAAACGAGAAACCTTGTCATTCATCAAACACGAACAACCGACGGATGAACGATTTACTCCGGATACCAGAGATCCAACTCGTACGGTAACAATCGAAAAGGTTACCAAAATAATAACATACGAAGAGCCGGATGAGAAATTAAAATCGTTACCAAGAAAAGATATAGAATACGTATTGAAGGAATCCTTCGAAGACGACGTTGAAAAGAAATACACGCCGAAAGACAAAAAGGATAAGAAACACAAGCCAGACGATAAACACAAACCAGAAGATAAAGTCAAACCAGAAGATAAAGTCAAACCGGAAGACAAACACAAACCAGAAGATAAAGTCAAACCAGAAGATAAACACAAACCGGACGAGAAAGTCAAACCCGAAGACAAACACAAACGGGATGACAAGCACAAGCCGGATGAAAAAGTCAAACCTGTCGATTCGACCAAGGATTACATTTTCGTCAAGGATAAGAAGGAGAAGTCGCCGAAATACGCTGAACATTATGAAAAAACCAAACCTGATGATAAACACAAACCTGACGATAAAGTCAAACCTGATGAGAAACACAAACCTGACGAAAAAGTCAAACCCGATGATAAACACAAACCGGAAGACAAACACAAACCGGATGACAAACACAAACCCGTTGAGTCGTCTAAGGATTACATTTACGTTCCTGATAAAAAAGAGAAATCACCGAAGTTCGATGAACCTGATGATAAGAAACACAAACCGCAAAAACCGAAGAAAGGCGACAAAGATCAGCCTTTGGAAGACCTCAAACGAGAAACCTTGTCATTCATCAAACACGAACAACCGACGGATGAACGATTTACTCCGGATACCAGACATCCAACTCGTACGGTAACAATCGAAAAGGTTACCAAAATAATAACATACGAAGAGCCGGATGAGAAATTAAAATCGTTACCAAGAAAAGATATAGAATACGTAT